ATTTCTACCTAAGACATAGATGGGCTAAGCCGGATTTAACATGTTTTTGGGGATTTGTTTTTATAACAATGATCTTTAACTTCCTACATGGTTTTGTCTTCCAACTGTTAAGATGTAAGCACCAATGATGAGTGTAATCTATACTAAAGGGACGTCTGGTGTACAAAATTGGAAGCCTTGTATCTTTAATGAGTTTTTACAACCACTGGCCAATGCCACTCTGATGGTTAACATTTCTTCCCCGAGGATATCACCAGTCTAGTAGTCAACACACCTTTGCTGACATGAACTAGCATAGATACGTCAATTAAAAAAAGGTTGAGTCAAGCTATTTTCTACTAATATATTTTCGGTTTATTCTTATGTTGTGCGGTTACATCACTGTCCAAAATTAAGGCGACAGAAATTTACCGATGTTTAAATCTCATAAATTGATTCAGAAGATTCAGAAGACTCAGAAGATACAAAGTAACAAACAAAAACTGAGGGAATCGCATGAACTCTAAAAGAAGAGTTCCAGGGTGTGCCGACATGGTAAGCGTCTCAATGTCAAATAAAGTTGTTCTTTTAGTGGTCCAAAAATGTGGAATTCACTATCCTATGAAATTAAAAAATCATAAACTGTATCTGAATTCAAATACAAGTTATTATTTTACAGTGTTAAATTTATAAGTTTAACCACAATGTATACAATAAGTGTATTATGTTTATTATATGTTTATATATATATACATATGTTGTTTATATTTGTATATTAGTAGTTTGATTATATTCTATTCATGTAGTTAATTTTGTTTGTAGAGAGCATTATTGAAAATTGGTTTAATCCAAATAAGTTAATCTCTTTAAATAAAAATATAATAGGAGCACACCCCTGCAAATGAAATCTATATAGTGACAATCATATCCTTATAGATTAAACTTCTTTTAAAATTTCGTTCGTTCATAAAACGTTTCTGTGCGTACCCTAATTTAACAAAGTTCAAACCCAAACATTTTAAAGTCAAGGATGTATAAATAGTTTTAAATACCTAAATACTTTAAAAGCTATTTGACCAAAGGGACATACGAAGAATAGCCTAATTCATCTAAGCTCAACTTTGCCTGAGGGATTTTAAACCTCAGTTTCTAAGTAATTTCTGAATTTAACAACATAATTCTAGTTAGTGATCAAAAGGGACCTAAAAAAAAAACCAGGCAAATTCATCTACGAGTGAACTTTGCCAGAGGAGGTTGGAACCTTAGTTTTTTAGTAATTTCTTTCATTATCAACGGAGAATTTTGGAAAAAAATAATATATACATAATGTCAGAACCGAATGACTGACTACTAAGCGTAAGATACCCTCGGGGACTTACAGTCAAATAGCAGTGGTATCAAAAAAAGTAAAATTACAAAAATACCGAACTCCGAGGAAAATTCAATACGGAAAGTATCTAATCAAATGGCAAAATCAAAAGCTCAAACACAACAAACGAATGGATAACAACTGTCATATTCCTGATTTGTACTTGTGAATGAAAATTATACTATCAATTAAGTGCTTTCTAAGAGCTTTCTGAATATCCCTTCATCAGGGACGCTTAAACACAAACAGAAAAGAAAGCCCGTGATGTATAAATATCTTGATACCTAAGGAACTGTATGACCAAAATGGACATAAAAAAACTTCCAAATTCATAAAAAAAGTAAAATAGCAGTAAATTTTTTCTGCGAGTTTGACTTAAATAATTTCCAGAAAGAGGGATTGAAAATTAACTTTTTCAACAACAAAAATTAAATAACTAATTTATTTATTTAACTTTGTGTTCAATCTTCATTGAGTAAAAAAATCCTGTATTCAGATACATGTACAAAAAAAGTAAAATAACAAAAATACAGAACTCCAAGGAAAATTCAAAACGGAAAGTCCTTTATCAAATGGCACAATCAAAAGCTCGAACACATTAAACGAATGAAAAACAACTGTCATATTCCTAACTTGGTACAGGCATTTCCTCATGTAGAAAATGGTTTGTTATGAGCAACACGACGGGTGCCACATGTGGAGAAGGATCTGCCTACCCTTCCGGAGCATATGAGATCACCTCTAGCTTTTGGTGAGGTTCGTGTTGCTCAGTCTTTAGTTTTCTATGTTGTTTTATGTGTACTGTTGTTTGTCTGTTTGTATTTTACTTTTTTAACCATGGCGTTGTCAGTTTGTTTTCGACTAATAAGTTTGAATGTCCCTTTGGTATCTTTCTCCTCTATTTTACAAAATGCAAAGGGCAAGCATGTTTAAAATCCTAAGCCTCTATGATATATTGATTTAATGGACTTCAATCGTTCCTAAAGAAGATACTATAATTTACAATTTACTTGAAGTCTGGTTCCAATACAGTCGTCAAATGATTTTTCCAAATTTTTGACGAATTTTAACACATTGAAAATAAAAGAGTGTCAGCCCATATAAACTGTCCCCACAGCAAATAAACCCAGCATAGATACCAGGATTAAATTGTGTACGCCAGTCAAAAGACTCATCGGTGTCGCTCGAATCAAAAGGCCAAATGAAGTTCGAAGTTGCACCAATTGATTCTGCTATATAAGGTTCGAACTCTCTGGCAAAATTTACCTTTTTGCGTCTTTGCTGTTATTGTGCTCTGGTTTTTGTTTGTATTCTTGTCTTTCGTTGTTGCTTTTGTGCTTTATCTATATAGTGTCTATATGCCTTTTTGTTTGTTGAAATAGTTATTTGCTTATAAAGTGATTAAGATTATAACACAATGTTGACTGCTGTACCCCAATTATTGACACTTTTACCTATTATGTCTGTTTGTTTTGCTCACAAATTGTTGTCAATATAATGGAATTCTATGCGACTGTCATACAAATGAGAGGTTCAGCTAGCTATAAAACCAGGTTTAATCTACCATTTTCATCATAAGGAAATGCTTGTATTTAGAATATGACAGTTGTTTTTCATCCGTTTGAGGTGTTTGAGCTTTTGGTTTTTCTAATTGATAAAGTACTTTTCGTTTTGAATTTTCCGTGGAGTTCGAAATTTTGCTATTTTACTTTTGACATACTAAGCGGTCATCTCAGTACCAGAATATTGACAAACGAGACGATTTTGATTTTGAAATTGTAAATTCCCCCCACCTTAGTAGCAATATATCAACTTCAACTGCATATGGGATATGCATTTCCCAACTAATTCGCTATTCAAGAGCTTGCATCTGCTACTCAGACTTATAAAACGTCACCAGTGTCTGAGCAGAAAGTTGATGAACCAGGGTTATGTCATAGAACGTCTCGTTCTTTTTCTAAAAGTTCATCGGAAGATACCAATACGTTGTTGATAACTATTCCGTATCAACTTCACAAAAAATACATGATGGTCTTGGAGTATAGACTCTAAATACTGACATTGTTAATCACTTCAATTACGTATTATACTGTTCTTTGTATTTGTCATTGTGTATTTTTAGCCTTTACTGTTTAGTCCATTTTTGGTAATATCCTTTCGGCGTGGATCGGTATTTATACATCCTGCCATTGTGATATGGTCATTTTTTGTATTCTTCTCTTTCATTTTTTTATTATGTGCTTTGTCTATAGAGTGTCTAAATGCCATTTTGTTTTCTTTGTTGATATAGTTGTTTGTTTTTATAGTGATTAAGATTATAACACAATATTGACTGCTGTACCCCAATTTTTGACATTTTTACCTATTATGTCTATTTGTTTTGCACTCACATTGTTCTCAATATATTGGAATTTTATGCGTCTGGCATACAAGTGAGAGGTTCAGCTAGCTATAAAACCAGGTTTAATCCACCATTTTCTATAGAAGAAAATGTCTGTACCAAGTCAGTTATATGACAGTCGTTATCCATCCGTTTGATGTGTTCGAGCTTTTGATTTTGCCATTTGATTAGGGACTTTCCGTTTTGAATTTTCCTCGGAGTTCAGTATTTTTGTTATTTTATTTTTTCATATGTTCGGAGTAGATAGTTCCTCTTACTCCACAAGGTCCTTGGTTCCCTTAGCCTGATCCATCTGTGAAGGATATTGCTTGTTGTTGTGTGAAATCTCCCATGAGTTTTTCAATAATTTCCTGGCAAAGCTCCTGTTGCTCTGTTGTCCTTGATTTTGAGTTGCCTAATCGACTCCAGAATAATGGTCTTGTTTGGGTCATTTGAGTTTTGGCCAGTCTGTATGTAGACTCAGGTGCTATGAGCTGGTTGATGATAATCTCTGTCTGTTTGTTCATGCCTGTTGCTTGGCTTATGGCTTTGTCCATTGGTGTTGGGTATTTGTCATAGATGTGCTGTATTTCATACTTCACAAGTTGGTGTTTGATGGGTTCTTGTGCTATCTCTTGTATGGCTCTTTGTTCCAACCTTAGGTATATCGGCATTTCTCCTTCTTCAAATTCTAATGCTTCCCTGCCAGATGTTGTAGGCATATCCATGCATAGAATCAATGCTTTTCTCTACACTCTGTCACGTTTTTGCAGGTCCTTTGGTTCTGCTTCTTGTCATGCTTGGTTACAGTATTCCATGATAAGCAATTGAAAAATTGGTCATGCACGCTGTTTCAGTTTGTGTAACAAACAAGTGTTCATTTTATAAAAATCTAGGACGGAAATAAAATAAACAGAAGTATTCCTGTAGTTCGCTTTTTATACCAAAATCTGTACAACAAATATTTGTTTTATTGCCATTCTGATATCCACAAGAATAAGGACCAAATTTCAAGCACAGTGCATTCTTTCGCAGGACGACCTTGCCCACCGTGAATTAATATAAAATGTTCCAACCGTTTAATTTAGCCGTTCGGAGAAATGTTAATTAGACGTTATTGAAATAAACTGCTAATGCGGTAAATAAGGGCCCCCTATTCTACACAGAAATTGAAGTTTGTGCAATGTCTCTATTGCAGAATTTTCTTGACAGTTGTTACTTACATCATTGTACATAAATTATTCAAATAAATGTATATCAAACTTTACTCACCTATTGTTGTTTTTCTTTCAAAGAATATTCTGCACAATAACTTTTATTATTTCTTGTATCCAATACATCAACCGAAACTCTTAGTTCATGCAAAAAATGAATAAAGGTAATTACATGTATTTGTGTAATAAAGTTCACTATACTGATATTGTTTTATCGATGTCCAGTCATAGTTCTTTAGCTTTTCTGCAAGATCCGTTCATAGTCTCACTCTCAGTAGTGACAAAACTATCATCAATATTATATTTCTATCTAAAGGATAGCAATATATCATATAACGTGTCTCTGGTGTAACTGAACACTAACAATGTCAATAAAGGTGTGCAAGTGAAAGTGAAAGTGAAAGTAAATTTCCACTTCCAGAAAGTGACCAAAAATAATTGAGTTTCCCATCTGACTAAACATTGAGAAATCTAGTGTCAAAATACTACCTCCCCCGTACTTAAAACTTGTTTGTCCCGTTTCCCTTTTTTGCAAGGAATATGTGTTATAAACTATAGGTTTATGAATAATTGATGTGGACCTGTGTTATCCTCCTTTGTATATCGTATGGACTAATTATCCCCCTTTTATTATTGACCAATGATTGTTTGTTATATGAATAATCATAATTACATTGTAGTGTCTGTATCTGTAACTTGATTGGTTTGCTTGTAATGATCCCTATGATTGGGAAAAACATTTAATACCTGTGTATTAGTGTTGATCAGTGTTAGTATTAATTAAAGAAAACGTTTTGGTAAATTAGTAACAAGAAATAAATTCGAACAAAATAAATCCCTATAATGTTATCATTTCCCTCTGGCAATAGGGGATTTGTGTAAAATTGGTTTAAATGTTGCTATGCGAATATATTCCTAGATTACCAACTTGAACTCATTTTTCAAATGGCTGTATACTTCGTTGGAACATGCCAATTATCTGTATATGTATGCATCTAGATCAGAGAAGTTCGGGAATAAATACCCCCAAGAAATAGATTGATATGCAGCAAAGATTAAAATTTTTGCAATTAAGTTGCTAGCAATTCCAACGGACCTTATCCTGATGTATCATTGAATAAGAAGAAATCCAGAAGACCGCAAATAAATGTACACAAATTGAGACGACTTTTTCTTAAAATTGGAAAAAAAAAGGAAAATTTTTGACGGATAACCTACTTAAAAAAAAAAATTAAAACATTTATCTTTAATTTTATTTTACCTGCACAGACACAAATTTTGAAATCGTTTTATTCACGAAAAGACAATCTTCAGAATAGTTCACGTAACAAGAGCAGACTGGCGTACTATAAAACTTTAATAGATGTGGAAATGTTATATGTGGACCCCATGGCTAACAAGGCTGATAAACCTGTGCATCTGGAATAGTTTAAGGCATACTGCGGCATGCCCTAGATAAATAAAATTCAAATGCGTTTTATATTTAAAAGAAAATTAAAACTTTACTGGATTTTGCTCTCCCTGCCAGACAGAGATGTACATCTTACAATAATTTCCAAACACCAAATATAGATGACATACTACTTATAGTATCTGATAAACTGACCAAAAAGAAAACTTAACATTGACCAATGAACCATGAAACTGAGATCAACGTCATAGGATTCCTGCCAAACAGACATGTACACCTTATAATCATTCCATACACCAAATATAACTGACATATTGCTTATGGTATCTGAGAAATAGGCCAAACCACAAAAACTAAACATTGCCCAATGAACCATAAAAATGAGGTCAAGGTCAGATGAAGTCTGCCCATCGGACAAGTACACCTTGCAATCATTCCATATATCAAATACGAAGACCCTATTGCTCATAAAATCTGAGAAATAGACAAAACCACAAAAACTTAATTGTTCACTGAACCATGAAAATGAGGTCATAGTCAGATGAAACCTGTCAGACAGACATGTAACCCTTACAATCATTCCATACACCAAATATAACTGACATATTGCTTATGGTATCTGAGAAATAGGCCAAACCACAAAAACTAAACATTGCCCAATGAACCATAAAAATGAGGTCAAGGTCAGATGAAGTCTGCCCATCGGACAAGTACACCTTGCAATCATTCCATACATCAAATACGAAGACCCTATTGCTCATAAAATCTGAGAAATAGACAAAACCACAAAAACTTAATTGTTCACTGAACCATGAAAATGAGGTCATAGTCAGATGAAACCTGTCAGACAGACATGTAACCCTTACAATCATTCCATACACCACACATAGTTGACCTATTACTTATAGTGTATGAGATTCGGACATGACCTTGTTAAGTTAACATTGATCACTGATCCATAAAATGAGGTTAAGGTCAGATGAAACCGGTCTGACAGACATGTGTATCTTGCAAGGAAGTCATATACCAAATATAGTTATCCTATTACTTATAATAAGTATTTCACCTGACAAAAAAAACTAACATTTTTTATCAAACAGTCACTGAACCATGAACATGAGGTCAAGGAAAATATAGACATATGACAGACAGAAGCTATGTAACATAAGATATCTGCATACAAGGTACGAGGCATCCAGGTCTGGTATCTTCTGAAATATAAAGCTTTATACAAATAGTTGACACTGATGTTGCTGCGCCGCTGGATAGTAATCCCTATGTCTCGCATTCTGTGACGAAAAAGACAATAAAAATCATATGTTTGCATGTATGATCATGTATATTTCTTAAAACTGGGTTTAACAAACATTTTCTTTAAAATGGACGATTGTTATTCAAAAATTACTATTAATCAGTATTGTCACTAGCATTGTTTTACTGTTAATTTAATTTTGTCTACTTTTTCAAAAGACGAGTTATACTATTCTATCGTTCTCTCGTCATCGGTTTTGCACTGTAAAATCATCTATTAAGTTTTGTCAGATTGACGCATTGTTGTGTTCTGATCCAGATTACAAACGTATGAATAACCTTGAGATCGCATAGAAAAGCATTAAACATAATATGCTGTACTCTATTTCTAGGAGAAGAATTTTGAAAATGAAAAATCTAGCCTGGTGAGACTTGAAATAAAAATGCCAAGGACAGGATGAAAATTATGTTAATAGTCCTAAAAGAAAAGTTTTACTACAAGTATCACATAAACTTAACATTACCAATGATCCATGAAAATGAGGTAAAGGTCAGATAAACCAAGCCAGACAGACATGTTTAGGTAACTACAATTCCATACACAAAATATAGTTGACCTATTGCTTATAATATACAAGAAACAAGCCAAACCATGAAAATGTATTATTGACAAATGAACCATGAAAACGAGGTCTGCCAGACAGATATTTACACCTTACAATCATTCCAAGCATTAAATAAAGTTGACCTATTGCTTATGGTATCTAAGAAACAAGACTTAACCAGGAAAACGTAACATTGACCAATTAACCATGAAAATAGGGTCAAGGTCAGATGAACCCTGCCAGACTGACAAGTACATATTACAATCATTCCATTTACGAAATAAAGTTGACCTATTGCTTTTAGTATCTCAAAAGAGGACCAAAATACTGAAACTTAACATAGACCAATGAACCATGAAAATGAGGTTACGGACATATGATACAATGCCAGACAGACATATACATCTTACACTCATTCCATTCACCAAATAAAGTTGACCTATTGCTTATAGTATAAAATAAAATGCTCCGCAGGGCGCAGCTTGATACGACCGCAGAGGTCGAACCCTGAACAGTTGGGGCAAGTATGGACACAACATTCAAGCTTGATACAGCTTTGCATTTGGATTGTGATTAAATATTTGACACAGCATAGGTTTCTGACACAGAATGAATGTGGTCTAAGAACTTAAAAATTTTAAATTGGACATTCACCTATTATGGTCCAATATCCAAAATCTAAATACATGGTTAGATTCAGCATATCAAAGAACCCCAAGAATTCAATTTTTGATGAAATCAAACAAAGTTTAATTTTGGACCCTTTTGACCTCAATGTGGACAAAGTTGATAACGGGGCCCAAAAATCAAAAATCTAAATACATGGTTAGATTCAGCATATCAAAGAACCCCATATATTCAATTTTTGTTGAAATCAAACAAAGTTTAATTTAAGACCCCAATTTGGACCAACTTGAAAACTGGGCCCATAATCAAAAATCTAAATACATGTTTAGATTCAGCATATCAAAGAACCCTAAGAATTCAATTTTTGTTAAAATCAAACTAAGTTTAATTTTGGACCCTTTGGACCTTAATGTAGACCAATTTGAAAACGGAACCAAAAATTAAGAATCTAAATACACGGTTAGATTCGGCATATCTAAGAACCCCAATAATTCAATTTTTGATGAAATCAAACAAAGTTTAATTTTGGACCCTTTGGACCTCAATGTGGACCAATTTAAAAACGGGGCCCAAAATCCAAAAACTAAATACACGGTTAGATTCAGCATATTAAAGAACCCCAAGAATTCAAGAATAAAACCCCATTGATTCGAAATTGGTCAAGAAATAAGCAATTTATACGAAGTATCTTCTTTTGCACAATACTGTGCAATTAAATATTTCTTGCTATTGCGCAATACTGTACAATTGACAATTTCTTGCTATTGCGCAATATTGTGCAATTGGATATTTCTTGCTATTGCGCAATACTGTGCAATTGAAGATTTCTTGCTATTGCGCAATACTGTGCAATTGAAGATTTCTTGCTATTGTGCAATACTGTGCAATTGAAAATTTCTTGCTATTGCATAATACTAATTATATAATAATTTACACATCCTGTTTGGTGTGTATCTCCTACCATATCATTATTATTTGCTTTTAAATATAAATCAGAAATAACCAACTTAAAATGGAAAATTTTAAAAGAAAAAAAAAGGAAAAAAAGAAAAAAAAGGAAAAAATCCCCCCCCCCAATTTTTTGGACCCCCTTATGATTCATCACCCCCAAACTCAATCCCAGCCTTCCCTTTGTGGTATGGTACCTTGCAGTACAATTTCAGAGAGATCCATACACTTGAACACAAGTTATTGTCTGGAAACTAGAAAAATGTGGTTTTTGGCCCCTTTTTGGCCCCAAATTCCTAAACGTTTAAGGCAATTACCCCCAAACTCAAACCCAGCTTTCCCTTTGTGATATGGAACCTTGTAGTACAATTTCAGAAAGATCCATACACTTACACACAAGTTATTGTCCTGAAACTAGAAAAATGCTTGTTTTTTGCCCCTTTTTGGCCTCTAATTCCTAAAATATTGAGGCAATTACCCCCATCATCAATCCCAGCCTTCCATTAGTGGTATGGTACCTTGCAGTACAATTTCAGAGAGATCCATACACTTGAACACAAGAAATTGTCTGGAAACTAGAAAAATACTTATTTTTGGCCCCTTTTTGGCCCCCAATTCCTAAACGTTTCGGCAATTACCCCCAAACTCAATTCCAGCTTTCCCTTTGTGATATGGAACCTTGTAGTACAATTTCAGAAAGATCCATACACTAACACACAAGTTATTGTCATGAAACTAGAAAAATGCTTGTTTTTTGCCCCTTTATTGGCCCCTAATTCCTAAAATTTTGAGGCAATTACCCCCAAAATCAATCCCAGCATTCCTTTTGTGATATGGAACCTTGTGGTACAATGTCAGAGAGATCCATACACTAACACACAAGTTATGTCTGGAAGTTACAAAAATGCTTATTTTTGGCCCCTTTTTCGCCCCTAATTCCTTTACTGTTGGTACCATAACCCCCAAAATCAATCCCAACCTTCCTTTTGTGGTATTCAACCTTGTGGTAAAATTTCATAGAGATCCATTCACTTAAACTAAAGTTAGAGTGCGAAAACCCAATGCGTCTTCGGACGACGCCGGACGACGCCAGACGACGACGACGACGACGACGACGACGCCAACGTCATACCAATGTACGACCACAAAAAATTTTTTGCGGTCGTTTAAAAACTGACCAAAACACAAAACCTTAACATTGACCAATGAACTATGAAAATGAAGTTGTCCGTCGAGGTCAAATGAAACCTACCAGACTGACATGTATACCGTTAAATCATTTCATAAGCCAAATATAGTTGATCTATTTCTTATATTATAAGAAGTATTGACCAAAACACAAAAACTTAACATTGAGCAAGAAACCCTGAAGTTGAGGTCAAGGACAGATGAAACCTGCCAGACTGACATGTACACCTTACAATTATTCCATACTTCAAATATAATTGACTGACTGCTTACAGTATCTGAGAAATGGATCTTATCATGTAACTGTAACCTTGATCGCCCATACACAAGTCAGGTGAAACCTGTCTGACAGACATGTAGATCTTGTAAGGAACCCATATATATATATGTATACCAAATATAGTTATCCTATTACTCATAATGAATGAGAAATTGATTGTAATCCCTATGTCTGGCATTCTGTGATGAAAAGACAAAAACCAATATGACAGACATAAACCATCAACAACACTGCTTTAAGATGTAGCATACAGGCAAGAAAGACAATACAACAGAACTTTCAAACAAATTTTATTACAAGTATCTTTAAAAAATATATAATAGTTTAAATGAATATGAGAAACAGTTCATGATTTATAAAAGAAAACATATCAGCATAGCTAAACTATTTTACAAGAATCAATGGATTTAGAATTTTAAAAATAGACCATGAAATTAATATGACCTTTGTTCACCTCCCTTGTTACGAGTTACAATTTTCACTGTCGGGCAATTTATTTCCTGTTCTTTATATATATATGAAGAACAGGTAACAAAATATGCCAGTTTGACAATTGATTGTTTCTACATTAACCAAAGCAAATAAAGAATGCATGGTTCACCAAACAAAAGAGGAAAATATTAATTCCTTGATCCATTGACATACTCATACAATTCAGCCATAATAATTATCTTTGCTTTTCAATGATTTTCTATTTCAATATTACATAGACTTTCCTTTCTCTTTTATTCATATTAAAATATAAATATTTAAGAAAAACATAAAATTAAATAATTGAGTTTGAATGACCTTTTATTATGTACTCTGTGGTAAAAATTTGTATAAAAAAAATATATAATGTAAAATCAAATAGATATCTTATTTTTAAAGATTTCAAAATGACGATAATGCCTTTTATTATCACCAAACTATATCACATGAAAGAAATGTAAGTACAGTTATATATCAACAAAACAACACAATCATATAACAATTATAATAAAAATACACCAAAAGAAGCTTCTCTGTTACATAATTATCATACAATCAATGATAACATGCAAAATAAAGTAGAGATTTCATTGAACCTAAATCACTCATCAATGTAAAGACCAAATTTCATTTATTTTACATGTCTATGTAGAGGGTTTTCAAGATAAAAGCCAAATAACCTAAAATGAGTAATAAATACTTAATCATTTTTAAATGTTTGAAGTTTGTAGACCTTCTCTTGCAAGTCATATTTACTGTTACTTTTCTCTCGATCCACTATACTTTGAAAGATAATAGTTAAAAAGGGAGAAAAGAATGAGTTAATATAGTCATTTAAGGACAAAGGCTCCTATAAGCAGTTGTATAACTTTTCACTCATGTTGACCCATTTGTAGACATTATCTTGCTGATCCTTACAATGTTCATCATATTTCATATGGGTCTTAATTCTATGAAAAGTAGTCAATCTTGAACAAAACCAAACCTGTACCCAATCTGTACCTCAGCATTTCACACTTATAAATCAAGTTTGGCTAAAAATTTACAGGCATTATGAAAAAATTCTGGACAATTACAATTTTCATTAAGTTTTCTATGTGTTTAGGGGCTTAAGGATCCTAGAAAAGTAGGTTGTCCCTAACAAACTTGAACATGATATGTAACTCAACAGTATACATTAATAAATAACAAATAAGCTCAACATATACAGGCATAACAAAAACAAATCTGGACAACTTAAATTTAGAAATGACAAAATTGACAACCTGATAAAAGTAAGTCTATATACCCTGGCAAGTAAGTGATGGGATATATCAAAACTTCATGGAAACATAAAGCAGACAAAATGTGAAATAAAAATGTGAATTTTGACATAAAAAATGTATACTAGTAGTAAATACATTTTAAACCAATTTTCTTACCAGATGCCAATGCTACTTTAGTTTTAACAAGATCTGTTATAAATTTCTAGGGGGTTGAATAAGAAATGCTGTGGTGGAACAAGTAAATTCAAGGGTAAGTTCTAATTTGTTTTTACTAATTACAACACTTGACAATTGTCTTTGAACAGCTTGTAAATAATATTCAATAGACTGAACAGTTACAAGAAAATTGGTTAGTACATGAATGTTTTCTACTGTATACAAAATAAAACAAAACATGATGAAAGACAGGTTACAACATTACAATTATATTATGAAGCCATATAAAAATAACACAAACATCAAAATAGAATATACTGTAAACCAAATAATATTTTGGCAGATACTTTTTTTCATGTTGAGAGAATTTTTTATATTCTCGATTTTCTAAATTTGTTCGTGTTTTCCTATATTAAAGAAAAGATCCAATCTTGAAATATATTTGAGCCACTATTTACATTTGTGTTTATATTCTAATTGCAACAGTCACAAAAATAAATTGCTAACAAATATAAGTTGGTTCATAGTCTTGTGCATAATAATAAGTTACTAACGCCTAGGTTTTGATTTTAAAAAGGAGCATTAAAAGTACACGTTGTACATGCATTTGATTTACTATCACAAATCTCTGCAACAAAAGGTCTTGACAAGGGATACTCTTTTATACAGTAGGAGCACTAAATGTGTAAGACGGTGGCTGATCACCATTAGAGTTAACTGTCACATTAAGGTTAATTTGAGGATTAATGTGAACAGCTGGTCTACTGTTTGTGTTGTTGAATGGAATATCTGCATATGGAGGCGGAGAATCAGTTGTCTGGTTCAGGTTGTTGTACTGAGGATTGTTTGTTTCTCTTCTTGGTGTTCTGTCTGGATAACTTTGATGAGTATATGATGGTTCCTGGGGCTGGTATCGTGAGCTACGACTTGCATTATTCTCTGATCCAGGGGAAGTGGGTTTTGTTCTGTGAAATTTGCAGTACAATGCAAAACAAATAATTACAATGATTACACCTCCTGATATTCCCAGAATAATCTGCCAGCGTAGGGATATAGCTTCTGTATCTGAAAAAAAAATATCCATGTAATTTTTCAACAATAATGAATGAAGAGCAGTATGTACTTGTATCTATCTAGACAATTGGAGTCATCTGAGGAGTTTGCTGGAATTACTAAGCTAGAATTTCCTACTGTAGTAACTATAAATTCACTTTTAATTGCCATTACTGTAAATTCACTATTAATTGCCACTACTGTAAATTCAGAAATTATTGCGTACATTTAATATTGCGATTTTCAAAGAAAGGACAAAAATGTGAGATTGCGATTTCAGGAAAACCTGCATACAGATATATAGATAAAAGTGAGTTTTTATTATTCTCAACCAGTCCAGTAATTCGCAGAAATAAAAACCTCACAATAATTTCTAAATTTACAGTATTTATTTTTAAGAAATAATTCTTTCATGCCATGCTCTATGCTTGTTTTAACATGGGTTCACATTTTATTTGTTATAATAATATCTTTATACCAAACATTACAAAGTGTAAAATGTTGACAAATATAATGTTTACCCATATTGAAATGAGAATAGTGCATGGCATAATAGAATTATTTGGATTCTAATTGGGAAAATTTTGAACATTTGTACTTCAAAGTGTACCTATGAGAAACTTTCAAAAGACAACCATTTTGATTTGAAAAAGCCAAAACTTTAAAGAAACCCAGCTGTTTTTCGATTAAAATATGAACAAATACATGAAAACTTACTTTTAGAATTATTTTTATATAATTTCTTAACAAGCAACACCAACACAAATGTCCATTTTGATCTCTGGCTTTGTTCAAATTACAACAATTGTAACGTCAATCACTTGCACCCTATGTTCTATTTGAATAAGAACATGGCTTTGTTTAAAAAGGGAAAGAAGAACATTATATTACAAAGTCATTTATTATCTTCAACACCTGATGATAATGCATAATTTATAAATACAAATTTTTGCACATGTTTATTGCATGGAAATGATATTAAGTTCAAATTTCCAAACAATAAAGGACTAACTCTTCAACTGTAATAGTGAAAATCATCAATATTGAAGTGGACCTCCATTTTGTCATCAGTAACAATAAATCAAAATTTTAAAAGCATTGGTTGATAAGCTTTTGAACGGAAACAGCTGGAGTTGCCTGATCAGCCAACCAACTGCAGTACAACCCTGTCAAAACTTCCCAAATTTGCGTCAAGAGGTTCCGGACTAGTTGCTGATATAAATATACGACTGAAGTACAAAGGGATTGGGCAACCTAATCACTGTATACACTATATAAATGGGCGCATTACATTTGCTGGCATTTAGGAATTAAAATTTTTATGTTTGCGCGCAGCTTTTGATTACATTTACATGCATTCATTTTATAGGTAACACAGGTAAAATAAAGATAATTTATAATAAATATATAAATAAGATGTGGTATGACTGCCAATGAGGCAACTCTCCTCAAGACACCAAATGAAGTAGAAAATTGCCTGCTTCAGATTGAGGGTGGTATAAAAATAAAATTATCATAACAAAATAAAATAATTAAATGGCAGAACAAATGTACAGATAAAGAACAGCAAAAACAGCTGTGTTTGTTTGCTTTTGTTTTTTTATGTGCATGTAGTGATTTTGAGTCATGAATATTTCCACCATATCCGTTCTTTTCCATTTTGTTAAGTCTAGAGATTCAAGGTTTGGGATTAGGTTTAACAAACTTTTGTTGAAAGCAGATTTTTGATAATCTCTGTAAGATTTATTCACATGGTTAAGACTTGGGAAAATTTAAATGCTTGAAATATTCTTAAGACACCTGTCTATTCATTGTCCTATGTTGACATGAATTATCATTGATACGGTCACAACTATAAATTAACTGTTTACAAAACTTAGAATTTTTTTCGAAATACTAAGGATTTTCTACCCAAGGAATAGATTATCTTAGCTTATTTGGCAAAACCTTTTGGAATTTTGGGTCCTCAATGCTCTTTAACTTCGTACTTTATTTGGATATTTTTACCTTTTTTGATTGGAGTGTCACTGATGAGTCTTTTGTAGACGAAACACGCGTCTGGTGTACAAAATTTTAATCCTGGTATCTATGATGAGTTTTTTTGAGAGATATCTTTTGTTTTTTGTGTGTGAAATTGTTTCGGGGTTGCTGTTTCAAATTTCTATATGCATACATGTATTTATAAAACTTTATAACAAGAGTGCACATACTGAAATGTCTTGTCTGCTTACTGATTAGAATTGAATCTTGTGTTGAAAATCTTCAAGATCAAGGTTTTACTACAGGTAAGTTATCATTATCATTGTTCCATGAACCCTGGCAGACAGACAAGTACTCCTCACAATCAGTCTAAACACCAAAAAGTGTTGACCTACTACTTATAGTTTAAAATGACCTAATTACAAAGACTTTACATTGACCAATAAAACATAAATATAACGTCAAGGTCAGTAAAACCCAGGTAAAGTAACATGGTCCAAAGCAATGAACTATCCCATGCCATTAACTTCTTTGTAATCTAAATCCATATTGTTTTATACTTCTACTATGTAGACTATCCATATTGAAACACTGACATCATTTATATACATGTAGTGTCCTTTAGACAGAATAACAATGTACCTAGATTACATTTATATAATATCCTTTAGACAGAATAACAATGTACCTAGATTATATAGTGTCCTTTAGACAGAATAACAATGTACCTAGATTACATTTATATAGTATCCTTTACACAGAATTACAATGTACCTAGATTACTTTTATATAATATCCTTTAGACAGAATAACAATGTACCTAGATTACTTTAGACAGAATAACAATGTACCTAGATTACATTTATATAGTGTCCTTTAGACAGAATAACAGTGTACCTAGATTACATTTATATAGTGTCCTTTAGACAGAATAACAATGTACCTAGATTACATTTATATAGTATCCTTTAGACAGAATAACAATGTACCTAGATTACATTTATATAGTGTCCTTTAGACAGAATAACAATGTACCTAAATTACATTTATATAATATCCTTTAGACAGAATAACAATGTACCTAGATTACTTAAGACAGAATAACAATGTACCTAGATTACATTTATATAGTGTCCTTTAGACAGAATAACAATGTACCTAAATTACATTTATATAATATCCTTTAGACAGAATAACAATGTACCTAGATTACTTAAGACAGAATAACAATGTACCTAGATTACATTTATATAGTGTCCTTTAGACAGAATAACGATGTACCTAGATTACTTTTATATAGTGTCCTTTAGACAGAATAACGATGTACCTAGATTACATTTTATATAGTGTCCTTTAGACAGAATAACAGTGTACCTAGATTACATTTATATAGTGTCCTTTAGACAGAATAACAGTGTACCTAGATTACATTTATATAGTGTCCTTTAGACAGAATAACAATGTACCTAGATTACATTTATATAGTGTCCTTTAGACAGAATAACAATGTACCTAGATTACATTTATATAGTATCCTTTAGACAGAATAACAATGTACCTAGATTACATTTATATAGTATCCTTTAGACAGAATAACAATGTACCTAAATTACATTTATATAATATCCTTTAGACAGAATAACAATGTACCTAGATTACTTTAGACAGAATAACAATGTACCTAGATTACATTTATATAGTGTCCTTTAGACAGAATAACAATGTACCTAGATTACTTTTATATAGTGTCCTTTAGACAGAATAACGATGTACCTAGATTACATTTATATAGTGTCCTTTAGACAGAATAACAATGTACCTAGATTACTTTAGACAGAATAACAATGTACCTAGATTACTTTAGACAGAATAACAATGTACCTAGATTACATTAACTTCTTTGTAATCTATAATCTATATTATTTTATACTTTTACTATGTAGACTATCCATACTGAAACACTGGCATCATTTATATTGTGTCCTTTAGACAGAATTACAGTGTACCTAGATTACATTTACTTCTTCACCAATTATAATGCAATCAATTGTTTCATTGAAATTGACTGGCATGCATTGTAGTCCCAACTTAAACTATTGAATCTCAGAAATGATTGATTGAAGGTTGATTAACATCCAATGACAAATACCACATGCAAGTACTCAATTAATAGGACAATTACATATATATTTGCTGTGCCAAGTAAACATTTGTGAGTTTGAGCAAAAAACGTGGTCTCTTGATTCTTTTTCATTGATGAAGCAATAAGTCTTTTGTAGAATATGCATCTAGCATACAAAATTTGAAGCCTGGTATTTTTGATGAGTTTTTTTTAATATCCTACCCAAATAAATAAATTGCTTTGCCGAGCACAGCTGGATATGACCGCAGAGGTCCAACCCTGAACAGTTGGGGCAAAAAAGGACACAATATTTGCGCTTGATACAGGTCAGAATTTGGATTGTAATTAGATATTTGACACTTAATTGTGCAATACACTATGCTGTTGCCTATTGATCCACCCCCCCCCCCCCCCCACCCCCTAACTTTTTTTTTGCAAAAACAATAATATTTGAAGAATTTTTCTTTTTAATTTCTGAAATCTGAAATAAGAAAAAATTGACCATCCACAATTTCTTTTTACCCCCCCCCCCCCCCTTTTCCCCCAAAAAAAATTCTTTCCCTCAAGATATGGTCATAATCTCAATTCAAATTTCCAATGGAGTTTGCAACCATAATTACCCATTTAAATACATCATAATAGTCTTAAAATAGAAAATGACATACATAATCATGGCTAAAATTAATATTCCTTGATAGTAACTTCTAAAAATAAATTGACAGCTAGTCATCCAAGACAATACAACATATCTTTATACATAATTTAAAAGCAGTGTAAGGGAGGTAATCAAAACGTTGTGTTTGGATTACCTCCCTTACACTGCTTTTAAATTGTCTTTAGTAATTGTCCATTAACAAGTAACCCTTGTTTTTCCCCTTTTTTGCCCCTAATTCCTACACAGTTTGAGCTATAACCCCCCCAAAGCAAATCCTAAACATCCCTTTGTGGTATGGAAACTTGTGGTATAATTTCAGAGAGATCCATGCACCGTTCCACAAGTTATTGTCTGGAAACTAGAAAAATGCTTATTTGGGCCCCTTTTTGGCCCCTAATTCCTAAACTGTTAGGACCATAACCCCCAAAATCAATCCCAATCTTCCTGTGTGGTTATTAACCTTGTGTTTAAATTTCATAGATTTCTATTTAATTATACTAAAGTTATTGTCCGGAAACATACTGTCTTTGGACGACGCTGACGACGACGACGTGATACCAATATACCACATGAACTATAAATAGAAAACTATTGAGCAATAAGATTAGCAATATTGAGCATGTATATTAATCAAAATTTTTTGCGGTCGTATAAAAATTTATCTAAACAAGTTGGTATATTCATTAAACATTGGTCCTGAATAAGCATGCAGTATTTGCTACTGGACTTTAAGCACTTATCAATTAACCAATCATTACTTCTACAAAGAAATAAGATATGATTTTCTTAAAACATTTTATTACAATAATTATGGTATAAAAATTAATATATAAAGCATATTAAGAAGTTGAAAAATATATTTAAACAAGGGTAAAACTTAATGCCCCCTGCACTACGGCGGGGGCATAAAAATATCACATAGGGAGTCATATAATTATGAAAGAGGATATTAATTATATATTTTTTCTTAATGACTTCTATGAAATAAAAAAATCTCTAAAAAGGAACATCAAAACCCTGAATGGTAACATTCCAAGACATGATATGACACGAATGACGTCTATATTATCTGCACAGAAATGAGCATTAAATTATGATAAAAACTCTACTGGAAACTCCTTAAAAAACAAGCATGTGTACAAATGTCTCTGTTGTAAATAAGTCGATTTGGGGGTTGACATCACAATAGTAAATACTTGATTTAATGAAAAAAATATAAATATTACTTACAGAAGTATCAAACTGAAGTAATGCTTCATTTTAATCAGTTTTAATAAAGTTAGACATAAAGCAATATGGATATGTTGATATGTAAAGGAAAAACTCACTAAACACAGAAAAAAAAACATACATACATTTCAAATATCATACAAAATTGTCTTCATTACAAAACTAAGCTATGAGGTGTAAAATTATAAAACAATAAAAAATACACATGTACAAATTAAATTTATGTTTCAATAAATACCCAGGATCATCAACAATAAATAAAATCTTTTCACACATCAGATCTGATTTGTTTTTATCATAAACACATCTATTCCACATATAAATTTACAAAAATTATAAATAAAGAATAATAGCTAATTTAACATTAGAATATTAACATTGTTAAGGTCAATTCAGTTTCAAGGGAGATTATAACTAAAATGTAATGTTATCTTTTGTAAATGCACATTTATTAGAGCTTTCATATAACCAATTTTGACTATTTTATTGCTGAAAAAATTAGTTTCTAAAATTATTAAAAGTTGTCAGAAAATTAAAATTAACAAAACTCCAAATTTCAAACCTCATCTTTTCTTGAAAAAAAACAAGGTAACCTAAGTTTCGTTTAAAGAATTTTTTTAAAGATCTTAACTCAATCCCCAACTTTTCTCAAAATCACAAAAATGACAATCATGGGTTAATACATTAAGGATCTTAATGATAAATTATATCTTTGTTTTGAATAATCTCTAAAATGAAAAAAATATTCAATTAATAGTCAGTACAAGTATCCCTGTGTCTTTTAAGTTTTTTTTTTAAATGATTCATCTGAATTATGTCTCAAACTTTATTTTTCCCTTACTGAAGCATTTTTACAAATGTTAGGTGCTTTTTAAATATAGAAATACAAAAATAATTCAGCATAAAATATGGTTAGTTTCTGGAATTTGTTTGACTTGAAACAAACAAATTTAACAGCCCAAATAAACAATGTTTGGTACAATATATTCATTTTTTAAAAATTAACTAGTATATGGAAAATAATGACAAGACATATAATGCATTTTATTATTCAAAAATATCATTTTTGCTATATCATCATAACTATTTCTGAATATAACTAACTAGTAATTCAGGAAATTTATGATGCTATCTAAATCAATCAATTGACTTATTAAGAATAAAAGAAATATTCAAATAAAATTATAAAAGGATAAATATATTCATATCAAGTAATAATGCCTCTGAATAATGTATCCACATGCTTGTTTGGAAAGGGTGTGTGGACCAGTGTTCCATTTATGAATTACTTTTATCTAAAAATATGTGTTTGTAATATATACTTAATTTAATGTACAATAATGTAATAATTAATATGCAAAAAACATTTCTATAATCTATAAATAGAAAAATATTGAGCAATAAGGTGTGCAATATTGAGCATTAAATTAATTAATCTTAAGAATCAAGTTCAATGTCTTGAAAAATGTGTCAGTCTTGGGAAGACGTGTGTTGTCTGCCATCTCCAAATACTAGTAATATAAACAGAAGTCCATGTTTTGGAAAAGGACTACCCAAAAATAAATCAGAGCAAAAATTAAAATAGGAGGTGCACAACTTATGTCCTGAAGAAAAATCTGTACAAGTTGGTAGAACAAGGTACAGTAACAGACAGGTGTTAGCTAAAATTTCCAAGAATAATTTGGATGTATGCGTTCACGAGTACAAGTGGTGTGGCCATATGATGGTTTAAGTAATACATATATAAGCTTCCATAGACCTGCGCTTAGGTGATAAAATTAGTATGGATTTCTTGTGATCTTTGTAATGAATGTAAGCACTAATTAACAATAAAGAACACATTGTCATTGTCTAAATCAAGTTTCTATAGACCTGCACTTTGGTGATATATTTGGGATGGTTTTCTAGGATAGCACCAACAAGAAATTACACAATGTCATTGTCACTATCAAGCATGGCCACCCATCACATGGTCATAAGATGGAGGTGCTGATGGATGAATGGTGCCTTCTGGTAGAGATGTCTTATTGTCGATCTGTGGACCTTCGGTATAGTTTGTAGAGACAAGTCTAGGTGTCTCTTCTCCATCTTGTACAGAATCCATTTCTATTGAACGATGTGCCTGTTTATATCTATATTTCCTCTTTCTTTTACACACAATGATAGTGACCACAATAATAATGGCTAGCAGAATACCCACAATGATCAGGACTATTCTTAAATTAAAATGGTCCACTTTCTCTGAAATTTAAAAACAAATATGGGCTTTAGATTTGTACATTGCTGTAAATTTAATTTTTCACACATTGGTTTGAAGGAGATAAATAAATTTGTTAACATTTAAAATTCACTGCAATAAGGGAAGAAAGGTTAGGCAAAATAGAACTACATGCTTTTTTTTCATATAAAAGAACAGAATGTATGAGAATTTGTTATAATGAGTCTAGTTTTCTGCACTTTTGTTTTTAAAATTCACTCGCTTGATATTGTTCAAAACTGTCCTCTTTGGAAAAAAAAAAAAACAAACAAAAAAAACCCCCAAAATTCACTAATAAAACAATCATGAGTTAGGTTTTAGGATTTCGCTACTCTGTTTAAATATAAAATGCTTTTTAAATAACTGTTATAAATTGATAGTATATAATTAACACAACTAAAAAAGCAGAAAAAAATGAAAGATCCTTGTCCTTTTTTTGAGATATAAGCCATTGAAAATCTGACTGTAATCTCTCTAGAGTTTTCCTACATTTAACGTTGGTACCTTTCTTCTTTCAAAAACTATAAACAAAATAACAAAGATTTTACAAGATTTTGAAAAATAGCTTTAAATATGTATTAGAATTATAAAAAGAAAAGTAGGGGTTAGCTGGCAAAATTTTTAATGGCACTACATGGATGAAACCAGAGGACTCCCAACATCTGACAAAAAGTAAAATAACAAGAGCAACAAACATCCTAAACTTTATGCATGATGTAGACACAGGTGTGAGATATGAATTTTTAAATATATGTATATATACTGAATTCACTAATGCTAATGTATTCATTATATACACATTTTTGTTTTTAAATCTAGTCTTGCATCTATGGAAGTATGACTATAATGCCTATAAACATCTTCCTATGACCTTGATGTTAAAATAGGATTTAAATGAACTTTAGTCTTAAAGTTTTAGGATTCCCGAAGGAAGAAATGGATTGTTGACATAAACATTGAGGAAAATTTAGAACTCGAAACAATCATTTGAAGTCTTTCTATCATTATAGGTATTCAGGCTAGCCACTTCATAATCCACCCACACATCATCATTCACAAAACAGATCATTATAGGTATTCAGTCTAGCCACTTCATAATCCAACCACACGTCATCATACAAAAAACAGATCATACTAGATGAAACAAAGCATACTGGAATGGAGGACACATCATAAAATAATATTGAATGTGTGGTATTGATGAATGAAGACAAAATTAAATTTGTATGTAAATAAGGAAAGCAGATATATGTAGCTGAAGCAACCAACATACATTCAAAATACATAGTGCAAACAGTATGACATAAGCGTACGAATAAAATAGTTACAAATTCAACCTAATTTATCCTAGTTAACAACAATTCCTGATTCATAAGTCTCAAATTTGATGTAATGAACACCTAGTGTATCAAGAAATACATTTACTATATATATGATACTTTCTCTCCATTAACTCTAGCCTTTCCTTTACATGAAGTTACCCTAACCTTTAACTTCACCAAACTTATTCTACATTGGCCATGGAGCGTTTGTGAATTGCAAAACGAGAAATCAGCAATGGTAAGAATGACTGTCACCAAGAAATTTCTTTCTACTTTTAGTGCATGATAAAATAAACAAGAAATGATTTTAACAGGATGCTGTTACGAAGTCTCCCAAACGAAGCTCCCATAATTCGTAATTCCCAGGGTCGCCTGACATTGGGCAAAGTCCAGTGAAAATTGGTTTGGTCCAGTAAAGTTATATGCATTACTGATGCCTGGAGACTAACCCTGTATATCATTCAAACCATCTTAGCATGACAAACCAGAATATATATGGTTTAGGGGTGGGGATCTTGACCACTTACAAAATATGAGAACTTTCTTAAATGGCATGGGGTGGGGGTGACCCCTGGGGACTAACCCTGTATTTCATTTCATGTGCTTTATCATGACAAACCAGAATATATATGGTTTAGGGGTGGGGATCTCGACCATTTACAAGATATTAGAACTTTCTCAAATGGCAGGGGGTCAGGATGACCCCTGGGGACTAACCCTGTATATCATTCAAACCATCTTAGCATGACAAACCAGAATATATATGGTTTAGGGGTGGGGATCTTGACCACTTACAAGATATTAGAACTTTCTTAAATGGCATAGGGTGGGGGTGACCCCTGGGGACTAACCCTGTATTTCATTTGATTTGCTTTATCATGACAAACCAGAATATATATGGTTTAGGGGTGGGGATCTCGACCATTTACAAGATATTAGAACTTTCTCAAATGGCAGGGGGTCGGGATGACCCCTGGGGACTAACCCTGTATATCATTCAAACCGTCTTAGCATGACAAACCAGAACATATATGGTTTAGGGGTGGGGATCTTGACCACTTACAAGATATTAGAACTTTCTTAAATGGCATGGGGTGGGGGTGACCCCTGGGGACTAACCCTGTATTTCATTTCATGTGCTTAATCATGACAAACCAGAATATATATGGTTTAGGGGTGGGGATCTCGACCATTTACAAGATATTAGAACTTTCTCAGATGGCAGGGGGTCGGGATGACCCCTGGGGACTAACCCTGTATACCATTCAAACCATCTTAGCCTGACAAACCAGAATATATATGGTTTAGGGGTGGGGATCTCGACCATTTACAAGATATTAGAACTTTCTCAAATGGCAGGGGGTCGGGATGACCCCTGGGGACTAACCCTGTATATCATTCAAACCATCTTAGCATGACAAACCAGAATATATATGGTTTAGGGGTGGGGATCTTGACCACTTACAAGGTATTAGAACTTTCTTAAATGGCAGGGGGTGGGGATGACCCCTGGGGACTAACCCTGTATTTCATTTAATGGGTTTTATCATTTAGAACATTTTCAATTAAAAAGATTGTGTCTATCACAAACGGTTTTCAATTTATAATCATTTGAAAATTTTAAAAAATAAAATCCCATAGGGTTCTATAGTAAAACCCTCTTTTCTTTTTGCCCCTCAAAGTACCCCTTTATAAACCCCATTGCACAAACAAAACCCTGATTGCACCACTAGACATGTTAGTCTAACATATTGTGAAATCCTAAGTTAATCTGACAAGCGGTTTTGGAGAACGGGTGCGGACAAGTTCAAATTTAAAAGCGGCGGAAGAGGAAGAGGAAGAGGAAGAAGAATAATAATAATAATAAGAACTGAGCAAAAACAATAAGTCTTCCCAAACTTCGTTTGGGAGACTTAATTAACTGATTATGGAATTTTCAAACTAAATCTATTGAGTAATAGTCAAGATAAGAGGAAAGCTGTAATTATTGTATTACAAAATGTATAAGCTTTGCCTATTATTATTTCAAAGTAAAAATTTCATAAATTGAAAATTCTGCAAAAACATGGTTCTCTTCTTTGGCAACTAAACATTTTGACAATATAGGTATGGTTCTTGAATCAAACAAAAACAGGATTTTGTTGGCTTATTGTATGTTTCAGAATTTAACTAGATATCATTGAGATGGGAGCCATCTCTGTGGGCCCCGCTGTGAATAATGTGTGGTAAAAAATTTGTATCTTTATCATTGGACATGGGCTTGTCAACTGAAACCAAAGTTTTTGACCTTGACCTTTGACCTAGGAAGTTGTACATAAATTATGACACACCCTCTGGTGTTGGTTTATATACATGTCAAGTATAAATTTTGAAATCATAACGGTTCTCATGATATAGAGCGGAACACAATCTTTACCATAGGACATGGGGTTGTCAACTAAAACCAAAGTTTTTGACCTTGACCTTTGACCTAGGAAGTTGTACATACATTATGACACACTCTCTGGTGTTGGTTAATATACATGTCAAGTATAAACTTTTAAATCATAACGGTTCTCTAGATATAGAGCGGACACAATTTATTATGGACGGACAGACGGACAGACTGATCACTATAGGGCGTCCGCCATTCGGCGGGGCCGGGGCCCTAATAAAATTTAACAAAAAGAAGATTATTGGCGAATATTGTGACTTTTTTGTTTATGATAGAAAAAAATCAGAAATCAATTAATTCCCGAATTCAAAATGGCAGCTTCCCTTAGTAGATTGAAAATTTTGCACTAGTTGTTGTCAAATCTATCAGTCAGTACAACATTAGTGCATTAGAATAGAACTTATCCTGTATGATACCAACAAAAAAGCACAGGAAAATTAAATGTATGAATCAGCACCCAATAATTCCAATGGCAGTGTTTTGAATATAAGTGACTTGAGGTGAGTTGCATGTATGAATTAGCATGTATCTACTTACTTTCTTTTTCCTTCTCTACTGGTATTGAAAATATAGTTGTTTTGTTAACTGTAAGAAAAAAAACATATTGCAAATCAATGAAAGTTTGGAAGCCCCCAAAAAAGGATAAATGTTTTTATGCACTGACTGAGTATAGACTGTAACCATTATATAGGGTAACTATATCCTAGTTTGGAAATACCCCCACAGTCATGTTCCTTGTGGTGTCTGACTCAAAGGCAAAAGTATCTGTCTTATAGTCTAATTCGTAGCAGCTACTATAATACATTTTTCGATTAGTCCAGAGCAGTTTTGATGGTATCTGGAACATTAATTGACTTCTTTCTGTGCACTCCTCTCAGTCCTCCGCCCTTAAAAGTCCTGTCCTATACATATTTGTTTATAGAGGGAAATAAATACTTTTGAATGCAAAGATAATCATTTCAACCACTAGAAAATCTTTTTACAACCCAAAAGTTCTACAAGTCAAATAGAAATATTTAAATTTATTTAATTATTACATGTATCATTGTTTTGATCTATATAAACATGATGAAGTTGTCCTTTTTCAAACTAGAAACTGTGCTATTGTGCCCTTTTGTCTTAAAACTGTTCCCCTATGCACTTAAATCCTAGCTAGAACACTGAAAATCATAAAAATGTTATATGATTTACATAAATGGCAAAATGTCCAACAAATTTGAATACATTCACTTACTTCCAGACTCTGTAAATTGTCAACTAACCAAAGAATTATAGAATGTATTTACCTTTATTTCTCTGACAAACTGCTAAGTGTTTGTCTCTTTCACATTCTTTAAATTGGAACTTTTGAGTATGAAAATTAAATATTGCACAGTCGCTGTCATCATTGTTACCCTCAGTTCTGAAATGAAATAACATAATTTTTCATCATCGAAACCCTCAGTTCTGAAATGAAATAACAATATTTTTCATCCTCTTTACCCGCAGTTCTGAAATGAAATAACAAAATTTTTCATCATCAATACCCTCAGTTCTAAAATGAAATAACAAAATTTTTCATCATCAATACCCTCAGTTCTAAAATGAAATAACATAATTTTTCATCATCAATACCCTCAGTTCTAAAATGAAATAACATAATTTTTCATCATCAATACCCTCAGTTCTAAAGTGAAATAACAAAATTTTACATTATGAACATGCATTACTATGGATTAATTTATTTTCGTTGCTATCAATTATTGTGGTTGGAGAATGATTACCTTTTTTGATGGTAACTGGTTTCTTGATTTCAATATTTGACCCTATCAGAGTAACTAACAACTTGTGCTATGCTAAAACATAATATTCCTGAATCAGATTACCAGTATGCTTATTTCAGTAAAGATTTTTTTTTTTATAAAAAATTCACAAGATGTACAATTAATGTTGAAACAAAAAATTTAATATATACACATTTTTCTAAAAGCAATCTCTGTTCCAAAAATATTGATGAAAATATGTCTGTATTCAGTAGCTAGATGCTTGTTATGTACATGGTGATGATATCTGTACATATCATGGAAATAAGTTTAAATTGAAAATTAGGGATGTTTAATGTATTGTAATACATGAAAGGTGTCATGTATGACTTTTTTCATAGAATAGTCGTCTAGTGCTGATGTGTTCCATATTTGGTATTTCTGATGCAATTTACATATAGACGAGTATTTTACCTTTCAAACAAGTGAAATATCATTGTCAATAATAAGTTAAGGTCAAAACCCTGAATTGATAATCGTCTCTCATTAACGACTGTCTATTGACCTGTAGATGATTTTCTATTGATTGTTTCTGGGTTGCTGTCTAATTGCCACATCCTTTTATTAATAGTTTACTAACATACCTAATCCAATCAGTCAAATAACTGTTGTTTAACCATTTAAATTTTCCTTCTGTTTCAATATCAGTAAGTCCAATCCATGCAGATGCCACAGACACATTTTGTGCATGAGCTATAAAGAAATACAAAGATCAATGTAGGTACAAATGTGTTGACATACCTCTACAGTCTACACATGATATTGCTGTGTTTAGCATTTAAATCAATGATTTAAAAAAAAACACCTTTTGTTTACAAACATAAATAAAAAAAAGCTGCGCCATGAGCGCATGATACGCCCGTCGTCTTGTGTGTGAATTTTTATGCAATAAGCATAAATAGTTTCTGACATACGGCGTGACATGCGAAAACCCCCCTTTTTTTTTACAAAAAACTCAATATCTCTAAAATAAAATTTTGAATCAAAACCAAAAAGTATACAGATCTTTAGATTAATATAACTAAGAAGTGTGTAAAATTTTAAGCAATAATCATAAATCGTTTTTGAGATACGGCGCGACATGTGAAAACCCCCCTTTTAAAAAAAAAAAATCAATATTTCAAAAATAAAATTTTGAATCAAAACCAAAAAGTATACAGATCTTTAGATTAATATAACTAAGAAGTGTGTAAAATTTTAAGCAATAATCATAAATCGTTTTTGAGATACGGCGCGACATGTGAAAAACCCCTCCCCCTTTTTTACAAAATACTCAATAACTCAAAAATAAAATTTTGAATCATCACCAAAAAGTATACAGATCTTGAGGTTAATATAACTAAGAAGTGTGTAAAGTTTTAAGCAATAATCATAAACTGTTTTTAAGATACAGCGCGACATGTGAAAAACCCCTCCCCCTTTTTTAACAAAATACTAAATATCTCTAAAATAAAATTTTGAATCATCAACAAAAAGTATACAGATCTTAAGATTAATATAATTAAGAAGTGTGTAAAGTTTTAAGCAATAATCATAAATTGTTTTTGAGATACAGCGCGACATGTGAAAAAAAACACACACCTGTTTTAGTTACTAAGTCCCGTAACTCAAAAAGTTTTAATCTTATTTTCACCAAAAAGTATACAGATTGTTTGACCATCATAAGAAACAACTATGTTAAGTTTCATGAAATTTGGATAAGTCATTCTCAAGTTACGGTGCAACATGTTTACGCCGGACAGACAGACGGACAGATGGACGGACGCCGGACATTTGTATACCATAATACGTCCCATCAAAAATTTGACGGGCGTATAAAAATACTATTTCTGTATCATTTCATGTTTTATCCAATTTACAGTGTGCAACAGGCAAACAGCACATGAAGAAGTAATTGTTTTCAGAATTTCTCTTTCAAAATCTAAGTTTCTAAGAAGCAAATACCCACCAGAACCTAGTATTAAGAAAAATTTTGTTTGTTCTATTTAAATATCTGAAATTCTGAACATCTTTTCAAATCAAATTATGTTCATTTAAATTCTTGACTTTACATAATGTTTATTTTAAAATAATGTTCTTAGCAACTATATATTTAAAAATTTGTAAGGGGTTCCACGGAACTCTGTGTCTCGCCTACAATTGCTGCTGTCAGTGTAAAAGTGTAATGTTGACTTAAAAAGTGATCCATTTATCAGTAAAATACAAAATTTAAAGAAAAATTCAAACTTTTTCTTTAGATGCTATTTATCTTGAAGATAAGACTCTGTACAAGTTTCATATAAACAATCCATGAAGGTTTACAAATTTATCATGTAAAAAAAAAATAATAATATTTTCAAAATTTTGCTCTGGATACTGTATTTTGGTCATAAACAAGCCCTATCAAAATTTCATAAGATTCCATGAAGGTTTGACAAAGTTATTGATGACTGAAAAAATTTAACCTCAGACTGAATCTAAATGTTAACTGTAAAAATCAAGGCATTGTCGATGTTGTGATAAAGCTAATTTTGTAGCTAGTCTGACATTTTTTCTAACCTCACTATCGATATTTTGTTTTTATTTTTATTTTCATTTCTATAATCTTTAATACTATAAAGTTTCTATTCTATCGCCCAAAGATGGAGAACTTTGCAATATTGATGTAAATCATTTTGATATTTCAACTTTAGACAGTGTCAGTTTTTTTAAATCTTCTATTTTTAGAAACATTTGCAATTCAATGATTTTGACAAGAATGGAAAGGGAAATCTTCAAACAAGTAGTATATTTTTTAAATGCCATTAATGATATAATTGGCTTAATAATTTCCAGAAAGCGGCATTGAAAATGCACTTTCTCAACAACAAAAATGAAAAAAATAAGTCCATTTATCAGTAAAATACGGAAAAATGAAAATAAATATTTTCAAAATTTTGCTCTGGTTAGTGTATTTTGGTCATAAACAAGCTTCTGTCTAAATTCAAACAAATTCCATGAAGGTTTGACAAAGTTATTGATGTCTAAAAAAACTTTTAACCACAGACTGATCCTGCCGACGACAGAATCTAGGATCGCTATGTCTCGCTTTAGCAATATAAATGTTGCAGGCTCGACATTAAAATCATGATGTTATAAAAAAATCCTCCAATTTAGAACCAATGATACTTAATAAGAGTTGACAAGGTGACATTTCTCAATTGCTTAACTGATTACATGTATGACTAAATTATTTGTTGAAAGTCTTTATATTAAAGTCTTGTTACATATTTCATCAAAAATTTACTTTTGATTCATTGATTAATTGATTGATAGATATAAGAAGATGTGGTATGAGTGCCAATGAGACAACTCTCCATCTAAGTAAAAATTAATAAAAGTAAACCATTACAGGTCAAAGTACGGTCTTCAACATGGAGCCTTGTCTCACACCGAACAGCAAGCTATAAAGCTATATATGATGGCTGTTTAACATACTGTGGCAGACATCACATGCATATTCATGACTATTTCAAAGAGTTTATAATTTGTTAAAATAACAATCAATGTAAATATCCATCATACTTTTTGAAGCTGTCAAAAAGGTTAAAATGAACAGCAGAGAGAAAAGTTTGCATATTCAATATCATAATTTTAGGTTTTTGCATATAATATTACAAAGTTAAATTTTCAGGGCCAAATAAATGGCCTTCTTGACACTTCTCCTTTACTTACTAAACAATAGTGTGAAAATTTCCATGTTTACAGAATATTTCATTTTTCAATACCCAGATGATATAATACCACAGTAATACATTACCTCTTAAATTATCAAAGACCTAATGATGACTTATAATACCACAGTAATACATTACCTCTTAAATTATCAAACACCTCATGATTACTTATAATACCACAGTAATACATTACCTCTTAAATTATCAAAGACCTCATGATGACTTATAATACCACAGTAATACATTACCTCTTAAATTATCAAAGACCTCATGATGACTTATGATACCACAGTAATACATTACCTCTTAAATTATCAAACACCTCATGATGACTTATGATACCACAGTAATACATTACCTCTTAAATTATCAAAGACCTCATGATGACTTATGATACCACAGTAATACATTACCTCTTAAATTATCAAAGACCTCATGATGACTTATAATACCACAGTAATACATTACCTCTTAAATTATCAAAGACCTCATGATGACTTATAATATCACAGTAATACATTACCTCTTAAATTATCAAACACCTCATGATGACTTATAATACCACAGTAATACATTACCTCTTAAATTATCAAACACCTCATGATGACTTATAATACCACAGTAATACATTTCCTCTTAAATTATCAAAGACCTCATGATGACTTATAATACCACAGTAATACATTACCTCTTAAATTATCAAAGACCTCATGATGACTTATAATACCACAGTAATACATTACCTCTTAAATTTTCAAAGACCTCATGATGACTTATAATACCACAGTAATACATTACCTCTTAAATTGTCAAAGACCTCATGATGACTTATGATACCACAGTAATACATTACCTCTTAAATTATCAAAGACCTCATGATGACTTATGATACCACAGTAATACATTACCTCTTAAATTATCAAAGACCTCATGATGACTTATGATACCACAGTAATACATTACCTCTTAAATTATCAAAGACCTCATGATGACTTATGATACCAAAGTAATACATTACCTCTTAAATTATCAAAGACCTCATGATGACTTATGATACCACAGTAATACATTACCTCTTAAATTATCAAAGACCTCATGATGACTTATAATACCACAGTAATACATTACCTCTTAAATTATCAAAGACCTCATGATGACTTATAATACCACAGTAATACATTACCTCTTAAATTATCAAAGACCTCATGATGACTTATAATACCACAGTAATACATTACCTCTTAAATTATCAAAGACCTCATGATGACTTATAATACCACAGTAATACATTACCTCTTAAATTATCAAAGACCTCATGATGACTTATAATACCACAGTAATACATTACCTCTTAAATTGTCAAAGACCTCATGATGACTTATAATACCACAGTAATACATTACCTCTTAAATTATCAAAGACCTCATGATGACTTATGATACCACAGTAATACATTACCTCTTAAATTATCAAAGACCTCATGATGACTTATGATACCACAGTAATACATTACCTCTTAAATTATCAAACACCTCATGATTACTTATGATACCACAGTAATACATTACCTCTTAAATTATCAAAGACCTCATGATGACTTATAATAGCTAAGTTGGCCTGGCTAAACATACAGTTATCGTAAGCAGAATTCCAATCAACTCCTGCTACAGGAGACTGTCTTATTCTATAACACTGATCAGTAGTGTCCAGGTTTGTCCAATCAGGTGGACACTCATTTTCATCTGTAAATATATGAGGAATTCAGGTTAATAATAGAAGATGTGATCATGGACACAAAATGTTCAAAATACAAAATGTCTACGGCAGGAATAGATAACCTTAACTGTTTTTGGCAAACCGTGCTGAATTTTGAGTCCTAAATGCTCTTCAACTTTATACTTATTTGGCCTTTTTACTTTTTTGATTTAGCGTCACTGATGAAGTGATGAGTCTTTTGTAGTAAAAATGCACATCTAGCATACAAAATATGAAGCCTGGTATCTTTGATGAGTTTATTTTAATATCCTACCCAAAATAACTTCTACATTGATTATATTTAAATACAAAAGTCAACAAGGAATTAACATTTTTGACTTATACAAAAGGATTGCAGTGGTAAAATATAACTTATATACCACTTACAGAAAGAAGACTTTAAAGAAATATACAATAACGGTCGTAAAAAAACAAACTTAACCAACTCTGCGGGATGCAGATGCACAGAGATACAAGGTTGAATCTGTATTTCCAAGCTACAGTTGGGGGTATACATAACATTATATTTACAAATAACATACTGAAAATTTGGAAGTTAACTGTGATTCCACTGTGATCATAGAAGTTTTTGTCGTTTGAGTAAAATTTGAGATAGAGGTATCGTCCTGAGCTGAGCACTTCATATGGATTTCTTTCTCCACATATTGATGTAATTGCTTCAGTTACTGTTGCATCACCTACAAATCATATCAAAATAATAAAAGTACATTAATACATTGTACTGCAAAAACTTTCTCCTCCATATTACACATGTGCACGTGAGTAGTGTAATCCAGAAATACTAACAAAACAACAAATCTTATTTAAATATGATTACCACTAAGATAAGGCAATGGCTAAGTCCAAGATAATTTGAAACAAAATCAAAAATGCACAACATTATATGATGAATATTTCTAAGAAAGTTTCATTAAATTCTGATTAGGTGTTAAAGGGGCATTAGCTGTCAAAATCATGTTCACGGATTTGATTCAAATTCTCATATTTGATTTAGAACATACTAAAATAAACAATTAACAATGCAGGGACTCAATAATATGTATCAGTATTTTGTGTGTATTTTAGTCTAGATGCCATCTAATTAACCATCGAGATGACCTCTGAAGACTGCTGACGGTCATATAACCCAATATAAACATAATTATAAATGTAAATAGATAGCGACCACATGCAATTGGATTTTTCTAGGTCTGTTTGATTTTATGTTATAGTTTAAATAAATGGGGAATGTGTCCATGGGACACAGATAATGCCCCCGCTTGCATATAACATTATAAAGGGACATAACTAAAGAACGGTAAAAGTAAGGGTACCCAAATTCCTACTTGATCTGATTTTTGTGGTAAAAAGCATTGTGTATAAGTTTCATAACATTTGGTTGAGGCAAACTTAAGTTAGAGAACGGAAACGAAAAATTCAGCAATTTTTCCATTTGTAAAGGGGCATAACTCTTGAATGGTAAAAGTGACGCATCCATAATTCAAATTTGATCTGTGTTTTGTGGTAATAAGCATAATATAAAAGATTTATAACATTTCGTTGAGGCAAACTCAAAATAGAGAACGGAAAACGAAAAATTCAGCAATTTTTCCATTTGTAAAGGGGCATAACTCTTGAACGGTACAAGTGATGCCACCCAAATTCAAACTTGATCTGTGTTTTGTGATTTTAAGAATTGTGTATAAGTTTCATAACATTTGGTTGAGGCAAACTAAAGTTAGAGAACGGAAACCAATTTTGGGACGTGCGGACGTACAGAGGGACAAGGGTAACACTTAATGCCCCCTCCGCTACGGCGGGGGCATACAAATAAGTAAATCATTGTTTTAACCAGTTTAAAAATGATTTGCGTGGATTGAATCGGTCAACGAAATGGTACACCCTTTTTTCACTTTCAATATTTACATTCTTTTCCTTTTAGTAGCTGAACATGCACCTTTATGCCTAGTACATGTGTAACCCATCTCCAGCTAAGGGGTCAAATTGAAGTTCACATAAATACGGATTCATATGAGGTCCATTTATTCACATGCAAGTCAATAATACATCAGCCATTTTTTTTTAGCTTATTTTGACAAATTTGGGCCAAACTAACTGCTAATAACGAAATATTGTTTCGAAATTCATCTTATATTAATACTTGAAACTAAAAGATTCATATTTCAAATTTTGTCTAAATCGTATCTAATGCCCCTTTAAGGTAAAGAAGCGGATATGACAAAGTCCACGTCATGCTTAAATTTAACCCCAGAATTCATTTTGATGTAGAAATGAAATAGATGTGAAAAAACATCACAAAAGTAATATTCTGCAAAACTTGTCAAGCAGTTTAGAAGAGGTTGTGGATACAAAGGTGGGATACTTGTATCTTAGTGTTTTTAGTTATAAGGAAAATTTGGTTTCAATTGTAGATCTTTGATGTTTCTGTTTTATTGTTCACAACTTTAATAGACTTCAGACGATTTACAGACTGACATATTGTGTAGACAGTTGAAGATTGTGTGTTGCAATTATGATGTTTTTTTTTCTGTTATTGGGTAACTGACTAATTGATATTTACCCCACATCTCCTTTTCTTTTAAAAGAAATTTGAGGTATGACCAGTTTTTCTTATTATGTTAAGTGAATGATAAAGAATTCATATCTAAAATTTGGTCTTGCATTGCTGCATCCTTCTGTTAATCCAACATATTTCAAAAGCTGTAGGATATACAATGTCATTTAATTTACAAATGATATCATAGGCAAAAGAAGAACTTTTCAGATAATAAAATAAGTAATATTTACCATCCATAATAGAGAGATGATCGTATGTCCCACATGACGAGTAGGACGGTGCTAATTGTAGATTAACATGTGTGATGGACAGTTGGATCAGTTTTCCCAAGCCTCCATCAATTACCCAACCACAGTTCAAGTTGTTGTCATAGCTATTTTCACCAGTAAGGACTGTTCTGATAGTGCCACTAGTCTCACCACTTATTGTCTGTGTGTTACCATTTTGACAGTAGTGAGTTACTGAAATATAAAGTATATTCAATAATGGTTCAACTGTTCAAAGCATTATTTCATTGTCTCACTTGTACAAGGAATATGTACTGCATTGTACAAACAATAAAATATTTATCAAGTAAGAATAAATTAGACCCATCATTTACCAACAATGATTCAGGTATATTTTCACTTTAAAATACCAAAAGAAATGCACAAATGTAATTTCTATAATAAGTAAAGTATTCAGAGGCATTATGTAAGCGTGAAAGGATTGAACTGATACCTAATAGTTCCTTACATCCCTGACCTTAGCTCTTTGGATATTTAAGTTATTTGCAATAATACCACATATCTCCATATTTTGGTATGTATTGTTTCTATAGCTTACATTTATTGAAGTGCTACATCATTTGGTCTCTTGTGGAGAGTTGTCTCATTGGCAATCATACCACATTTTCTTACTTTTATAAAAGCTGATTCAGTTAAAAAACACTCTTGCTGATGATGATTCCATGAAGAACAGGGTGATTGCTGGTGAGTGGTGATGAGTGATTCATTGAGGAACAGGGTGATTGCTGGTGATGAGGGATTCAATTTGAAACAGGGTGATTGCTGGTGATGAGTGATTCAATGTGGAACAGGGTGATTGCTGGTGATGAGTGATTCAATGTGGAACAGGGTGATTGCTGGTGATGAGTGTTTTAATGTGAAACAAGGTGATTCCTAGTGATCAGTGATTCAATGTGAATCAAGGTGATTGCTGGTGATTGGAGGTGATAACTCTCTGTTTTACCACTCTGTAGTGTATTACCTATTATATACAGAGTGATACTTCATAACTAACCATCCATAATCACCAGTGTCCTTGGTTTCAAAATTCAATAGCAAGACAGATGTTTTACTGATTCACCTAGAGGGTCCAATATTTATAAAGACTACTTACCACTTATAACTCTTGTAAAATTGATTAGAAAAAATATTAAAATTATCTGGTGTTGATGCATCTTCATTCTGAAATATAAAGAAAAAATATGAATCTTTAAATACAATATTTGACATCCCAAGTTTAAGTAAACAGTGACCATCTACTTTGATAACACTGAAATGAACATCAAAATAGACTTAAAGATTAATGCTTAAAAGACTGAAAATCACAGTCCAAAACAATGTTTTTAACAAGCTAAGCAAGTTGAAGATTAAGTTCACTGTCTTACAAGTTTTCATCATAACATGTGAGCCAACATCAAATTACAAATAATTCTGGAGCTATACCTTCTTGAAGAAATAAGAGAGTAGAGGGTTTGCTCCATTGTAAACCAGTGATGTGATCACCTTTACAGATCAAATAACTATAAGGATAAAATGTTTAATAAATGGACATTTCTCATCAATTCTATATAGGACCCATTTTCAATCAGAGAAGAAGTCTACAACATAACTAAGACAACAAACATCATCATCAAAACTGAAAGAGAAAGGAAGCTACTAACTAAACTAGATTTAGTATACTGTAAAGACGCAGGACTTCTCATAGAAAGCCACTTAGGAAAATTAAATCAAAGTTATGAGTATAAATCCTTAAATGTGGCATTATTCCTATTTTCAGGTATAATACCCCAAAGTTGGGTATAATAACATGTAACATGTACATGTAACAGTCATATTTGTTTTTTAAGTATGTATGGCGGGCCAGTTTATCACAAGTTTATGGAAGGAAAGGGTGATCTATTTATTAATAGAACACTTATAAAGAGATTCCAGATAATCCAAAAAAAAATTTCAAGTCAGAAATGATTTTTGTAAGCAATAATATGATTATCGTTAGCTTTAGGAACTGCATTATAAATATCACTAGATATTTTCGTAATAAAGAATTTTTCTTTAAAATTTGACATGCAGTGATGATAAGTACAGATCCTATGAATAAAATAGCAAAAGAAATATTCACAGAAGTGACAATTACGGAAGAAATGGGAGTGGGCGGATTTACCGGAGGGGCGGAATTACCAGACACTACTGTAGATTTAAGGGAAAGTGCATGAATTCGATAGTCATTTATTGCTCCCCCCAAAGATCATTAAACTTAATTTTTATCACAGTAAATGGGTAACCTAATTTGGGTATAATACCATAAATGGGGATAGTACCCTTTAAGTAAAGTTTTAGAAGACTCTTTCCCAATCTGTTAACTGTCTTAAACTGATAACTGGGAGCCTTTTTTCAGTCATTTAGGGATATTTTTCATCGTCATACCGAATTTCAAACGAATAAACAAGATAGAGTCTTACTTTATCAGTATGGAATCAACTTAGTTGTTATTCTAGGTTTTGTAACATAACTACGTCTTGTGTGTCATCTGGTAAACATGGTAAATGTATTTCAAAATATCTCTGGATTTACAGGAAGCAAAATAAAAACAAAGAGTTATTTCCCCTGAGATGATATGCGCGTTGTAAACTTCCGGCGTCCCCGTTGCCAGGCTGCTATTTCACTTCAGCGGTGGTCTCCAAAACCCCTTGTAGAAATCTTGTGAGATAAACAAATCTAAAATGGCGAAAGTTGCCATGGACAGCAGGTCATTTCAAACACTGCTAGATCGCATTAACCAGGTATACACAAACAGGGCATTTAGTTCGGATTTCATCTGTAAAGTCTAAAGAAGAAATTTCTTCCCCTCATATTTTCTCATAATACTGCATTTTACTTTATATGTAGGTGCAGTGATCATTAGTGTTTCATGCTTGTATTGTTGTATTTAACCTTTCCAAAGGGCACTTATTGACCCAAACCTCCCTCCCCCTATTTTAAATACAGCACATTACTATACACCTTATTGCTAATTGTCCACCATACACCTTATCGCTATTCCCGCTTGACCCGAGAATCTGTCCTGCTCGAACTTTTGACGTCATACAACAATCACTTTTCCATTGTGGCGTCAGACATTTTCTATTATGACGTCAAAATTTTACGGGAACTTGTGTGATGTCCAGTAATGGCGGACAAATAGCGATAAGGTGTATTACTGGACATCACAAAGTTCCCCATAAAATTGGACGTCATAATTGAAAAGTGATTGTTGCTTTACGTCAGAAGGTTATTATGAGACAGATTTGAGGTCGTTCTGAGACAAAATTCAGCTAAATACCAAAAGTACAAAGTAAATACATTTATAGTTCTAGTGTTAGAAATTCTCACTTAGTTTCGTAGATTCCCAAATAGCGATTAGTAAAAATATAAGGAGATGTGGTATGATTGCCAATGAGACAACTATCCAACTGAGTTCAAATGAAGTGGATGTAAGGTAGCAAAACACAATTAGGTGTGTAGTTTTGCATTTTGGCCCCGGTGGATTTTTCAAACATGAAAGTTATTGTGCAATAAAATTCATTTTTAGACAGCTGATGACTAATTAAGCCTTCAAAGTGGGTTTATAGGAACATCAAGATTATTTGTACATGTTTTATGGGCTGTTTTCTGTTTGACTGTCCATATTTTACATAATTGACCCCATTAAACAATCTGTTATTGTTACTGTTATTGTGAGTTAATAACATATGGATTGTGACATTAGAAATGTGCTGGAAAATGCATGAATGTGAAAGTTGTTAAGCAAGGTGCCACTTCGGTTGTTTCATAATATATATTTAAGGGCATACAATTCAGAAAAGATCCCTCGTTGATTTTTCCTGAAGATTTTTACACAAAGTCAATTTTGATATGCACTTTTGAGATATGCAATGACAAAAGTATCATCATATTATCATCATAAGTATTTGAGATATTTCATTATTCATGTAAGAACACAAAATTTCATTTTTCAATATTTTTCGAAACAATAACACAACTTTCTAATGTACAGTGATATTTTCAACCGTTTTTTTGCAAAATGTTCCTTAATTTACAGCTGGCTTTAAAGCAGACCCTTAAATGAAGGGTTAATGGGTTAATGTTTTTTTAGTGAAATCATACAATTATTGGTAATAAAAAGCCATAAACAACATGCTGAAAGTAGTACATAGTCAATTGCAAAAAGAAAAAAATGTGGCTCATATTTTAGGTAGAAATTGAAAACAAAGTTTTTTAATACTGGAGTTCCTAATTCCCCTTTTTGGGGCTAAATTGTTTTTACAGTGTATTTCTAATACCACATCATCACATTAACGAATTTATTGAAGAAGAAGAAGATTATTTTATTTCCAATTATGGGCCCCAAAGGGCATAAACATTACAACATCAATAATTGATAATAGAAAAGAAAACAGTCTTCATTTGCCTGGAATTTTATGTCCCAGTTGAAGATTTCAGATGCTATATGCTACAAGTTTGTTTTCCATTGCAAATACTTTCAAATTCTCATTACCGATTTGATGTTTTTAGTGATTTTTCCGCAGGTTTTGAATGATTATTATTAGCATCTTTTCAAAAACAACGTGTTACATTTGGATACATTAATATCTGCCCTTTCTACTGTATTGTATATATGCCCTTAAGTGTTCAAACGTACACACTTTGTATATGTAAACACATTTCTAACAATATTCAAATTTGAACTGAAAGTTGATGACCTAGATGAATCAATCCCCAATCATAAGCAGGATGGACACAACCAACCAAACAGTTTGCCAAATAAGTAATTACCTTTCAGATGATGAACATTTCTGGTTAAGTAGTGCATAGGGTATATATATAGTCCATATGGAAGAAATATTCAATGAGTAAATCTGTCCAAAGTCAACACAAAAAGGGTCAGCTTAAAGAAAAAAAGTTTTCATAATTGCATAAGTTCTGTAATTTAAAATGTGTCTTCTTCCTTATAGTACTTTTATGTCTCATATTCGGTGAATACTGATTTTGGATATTTGACTAATTTACTAAATATTTTTTAGGAAACATCATACACAGAGAAAAAGGTTGAGATATTGTACAGCTCAAGAGGATATTTCACTGCGAACCAGGTGAGTTAGAATAATAATATGAATTACTGGTAAGTTACTGTTAGTGAATAAAAATACATGAAATATATTACAGAAAAAAATATCCCTTTGATATCTTCCACCTCTCTTCTATATATATACATGTAGAATGATACTGGAAAATTTTAAAAGAATGAATGGTTAGTGAGGTTGAAATATTTTAAAGGATCAACATACATGTATATCATACACATACATTTTTACTAGCATTTTTCATTTTTATTTTTTGATTTAAAAATGTTCAAAAATATTAAAAATTCAAAACAGATTTCAAAAATACTAAATACACCTGTTTTACATCAGTATAAGTTATACCTGGAAGTGATGTGTACACCTCAATTGCCAAGTTCGTTAAGTTATACCTGGAAGTGATGTGTACAACTTCAATTGCCAAGTTTGTAATATGATCCATATGTATCTTCAGGCATCACAGATTCTATTAGCATTCAAAGCACCTTCAGACAAAGTTAGAGCAATACAGATATTAGAACCAGTGAGTATGAAGTTATTAAGTAGAATCTGTTTGCAACAAATTCATTTTCAAACACATTTAGCCCCTTTATATTATCAGTATTTTGAAGAATTGGAAGTAACAACTGTACCGAACTGCAGAGTATTAACAAGGCAATTCTTGTGCAGCACATGGATAGAAATTAGCAATTAGAACAAAATAACAATGCATTGTACAGAAATTATGAAGTTAATCAATAATGTGTCATCTTTAACCTCAATACACTTATTGACTTTAATTTAAAAATAAGATGTGGTTTGATTGCAAATGAGACAACTCTCCACAAGAGACCAAATGACACAGGAATTAACAACTATAGGTCACCGTACCGCCTTCAACAATGAGAAAAGCCCACACCGCATAGTCAGCTAAAAAGGCCCTGAAATGACAAATGTAAAACAATTCAAACGAGAAAACTAACGGCCTAATTTATGTACAAAATAATGAACAAAACACAAATATGTTACACAGCAACAAACGACAACCACTGAATTACAGGCTCCTGACTTGGGACATTTTAGAAAATTAAACACTGTAGATTCATTATTATTAAGTGGATACCAATTCTCATGTATTTCATCGCTCATTCATATTCAGATTTATTTAGCTCTATGGAAGGAGACTGACCATTTTCTTTGTAAATGTTGTATCTGTTGGCTTTACTTTACAGCGACTTTGTCGAATGTCATGTCAAGAAGCAAGAGAAGTTCTTAATATCATAACCGTGCAGAATGATAAATTAATAGCATTAGACTGTGTAAAAAGGTAAATATTATTGCATTTATATGAGAATAAGGTAATATGGAGTAAATGTACAAAAGATATGCAAAGAAAAGTAACCATTTATGAAAGAACAAGACTTCCTTCATGTGTCATCTATATAGCTAATTGTTCCTAAACAAATTGCTTCAAACATTAAATTACACAATGAAATAGGTTTCTGTAAAAAGAAGCCTCCCATTTCCATAGAAGTCTCTTCATTACTGAGAGTTTGCAAATCAGGCCAGTTTAGGGTAGAGGAATTTTAAATTGTCTCCCCTAGCTGTTCACCATTTTAGTTTGGTGTGAACATTTCACTGAAAACATAAACTTCAGATATTTGTATCTTCAGTAAAAGACATCTTTAACTTTAAGTCATTTAGTTTCCATCTAAATTTTAGAAATAAAAAATCTTTGTGGATGAAGAATTTTTTCTCAAAAAAACATTATTTTTATCACATACCACTTACCTGGTTTATGGCATGTTTAATATTTTAGTAGATTTGAATAAAAGAAAAACAAAGGATATGGGGTATCCATCCATGACACAAAATCAGTACATGCACAGCAAAAAAACACACAAAAATGAAAGGAACAGCGCTTTTATTGCTGTTCTTCATCTCAAAGTCACAGTGAGGCCTTCAACACAGACCAAAAAAAAAACTCTCACCTCACTGCAAGTTTTAGACAGCCCCTGGCACTTTTATTGAATGGTCCTATATCTACATTATTTATAAAGGTTTATAAAGTAATTTTTTGCTTAAGGTTATCAAAAAGAATTTTCTTTGCATTCAATTTCCATTGTTATTGAAATTTAGTTAACATTGGAAAATTATTCCAAACCATTTTCAATTAAGTGAAAAGCATTGATTGTATGTTTAGGGTTACTATTTCCATTGTGAAAAATGTTATATATATATGTGATGTCATATGGCCATTTTAACTAAAGCCTATAGAAGAATTAAAATGTTCATGCAGAGTGTGTCTACATCAGTTTCAAACAAAAAACACTTCACTTTCAACATTCCTTTAAGGTTTCATTGATTTCGTGCTTGAATATTATATTATATGGAAGATATATTTTGAATTTAATTGCACATGGTTTTTGACACAATTCTTTATTACATTTTTTATCAGAGTGTTGACAGATTATCAATCCAAGCTTGGAGAGGAGTATATTTTGAGTTCATTTCCTTTTGAAGATGGCAAGATTATGGCATTAGGAATTCTGAAAACAGTAAGACTTACTATTATGTTTACTAAAACCTTGATATCTATGAGTTATAAATCATACTTTAGTTCAAAGTTTCTTTACATTCTAACATTTATGATCTTTTTAAAAAAAATTAAAGAGCATGAAGAGATTATTCTATATCAGCAGATGAAGTAGCCTTCAATACATAGATGCTCTCTGTAAAACATATACGGCCTCGGTGGCCGAGTGGTCAAAGTAGTCGAACTACTGTATCACTAGCCAGTCAACACTGAGGTTGTGAGTTCGAATCCCACATGAGGCAGGTGCACTCTATTCCAATCTTTATTGACTAGGATTGTCAGTTTTCCTACCGATGGTGGGTGGTTCTCTCCGGGCACTCCGGCTTCCTAAACCAATAAAAGCTAACCGCCATGAAATAGCACAATAGTGTTGAAAGTGGCGTTAAACACAAATCAATCAATGTTAAACTTATATAGGATGAATAAAAAGTCAATGGGACAGCAACCAAACAGCACAAAAATCCAAAGACACATAGCAAAATAGCAGTGAAAAAAAAATTAAGTTTTTTTTTTCAGGACTGACTTTTGCTTGTACCTTTTAATATTCCAATGGTAGAGATAAAAGGGGCCTGACTGAATACTCATAACCCTTTATATCTTAGTTTTGTCCTTTAAGGAATAGTGCATATAGGGTTGATATATGGTACACTCTGATGAATTAATTCACATTTGCATGGTCTAAGGGTGAATTAAAGCTTGACATACATTTGTAATTTCATACAGTTTACATTTCGAGATTTTGAGTGTATCTGATTTTTATTTTATTAACAGTAGACATGAAATCACAAATTTCATTCTACACAAACATTACAGTGACAATCTTAAAAGTTATATGTACACGACTGTTAAAGTTGAAAAATGAACTGAGGGAAGATTTAACAGCATTTATATAAAATCGGATGAAAGATTTGTGTTTTTATTGCCAAATATGCATGGGAAATTTTACAGCTAAATATCAGTCCAATATACCAATGATTAAAAAAATATTTATCATGAGAGAGATCAACTCTAGAAAACACATGCCAAACAAAACAAAACATCAGTGCCTGTGTAGTGTGTGGCATACTTATCTAATGGCAGACTGAATAGTGCTTGTAACTCTGATTTTCTGTTCAAATTAGCAGTACATTGTCAAGTTTGATGTTTTTACAGGTTGGATCCTATGTAGGTGAGAAAACACCAGCTGGAGGACACCAGGGTTATGCTGCTCTTGGGGGATTATATACACAAGCTAGACCAATGTGTACTCATTTATATGGACCTTTATATCAACAGGAGCAGATGATTCCAGTAAGTTTTCAATAGGATTTTTGTATTTTGAATGATGCTGAAGATAAAAATGGACTTTAAATTAGGCCGTTAGTTTTCTTGTTTGAATTGTTTTACATTTGTCTTTTCTGGGCCTTTTATAGCTGACTATGCGTTATGGGCTTTGATCATTGTTGAAGGCCGTACGGTGACCCATAGTTTTTAATTTCTGTGTCATTTGGTCTCTTGTGAAGAGTTGTCTCATTGGCAATCATACCACATCCTCTTTTTTATATTTTCTGTGGGAGTTGCTATAAAATTCATTTAAATCTTGAAAAATTGATTCTATATGTATTTGTACACTTTTAATCTTTAAACTTATGAATTTTAGAACGTTCTTGCATCAAATCAAAATCGCTTTCTTTAAAACATATGTCTTTATTTGTCCACAGCAAACACAAACACGTCTGATTTTTTCTAGCAGAAAAAATTGCTTAGTGTTAAGATATGGACAAATATAATGTCTACTCATTAAAATGAGAATAGAGCATGACATGAAAAAAATATTTCATATTAGATAGTGTTACTAATTTATTTGTATATTATGTATTTCAGGGTCGAGGTAAAATTGAGATTCCTCCTGAGGCCCAACCAGGAGTGGTGCCATCAGTTTATACTGGCCACCCATCCTATGCTTACCCTCTGGACAAGAGCTATGCTGCTGATCGTGGTTATCCAGGCAATGTCCCACTCACACAGCCTGTCATGCAACATGAAACATATCCAGCAGGTGCCCCACCCCTGGGGTTCCATACAGGGAATCCATTTTCCACAGGTTTTCCAGGTCTAGAAAAGGTTTAGAATAGGTCTACATGTAAACTGTGAACAACCATGATAAAACCATTTGTTTGTGAAGCATATCTGCCAATAATAACAAAGAAAGCATTTGTTATCAAATTTTAGAAAAAAAAATTATATTTACAAACATATACCATTCCAGATGTTTATTATTTTATGTCATATTTTTTGTTATGTTTTTATATTGTTTTTACCTTCTTGATTTATTTTAAAAAGCGTGTGCTAAAGCATTGAAAACCTAGCACTGTCAGTTAATGGCATATTGAATAATGGAGGTACTGGTTTTGTTTAAAATGTTGTTTTCATAAGTCTTCCTGATTCCTTTTAAACTCATTCTTAATCTGTAATCTCTAAATGTTTATGCTTGAAAACACCATTGGTTAAACAAAGGATTTTTTCCATTTGTTGATTTCTATTGTTAACTTTTACAAAAAAATAATAAAAGGCATGATATGTATTTTTTGAAAAAGGTTTAAATGCAGCAGTAATGTCATATTTAGATGTGTAATCTGAAAAAATCCATCTGAGACTTTTTAAAGATTTTTGTTTTGAATTCCAACAGGGTTTTATGTTTATTATGGTTTCTTGTCTGTGATACTATTTCTATATTTGTACATTATATTGTTTGTCTCTTTATGCTTTGTACATGCATGCTAATATTTCTAGGTGCATAATTGTTATAGATTTTATTTGTTTTTGTATTTCTATTAATTAATATTTTTGTGCTTGTTGAGTTTTATAGAATTTTAAAACAAATTTATACATTATATGTATAAATCTCCACCGCCCCAGTATTGACCTGTAAATCTGATTGCTGTTATAGAATTGTCACTCTAAATAACATTGTGTGGAGCTTGTATACAGTACACCTAATTAAATCTTTTCAATTCTTACTAAGATAGTTATTATTCTTACAGCTTGAAGGTTAACATCTGTATAAACATTGCAGTATCCAATCATGGGTATATATCCACTGGAAGGAGAGCGGATTGGTTAGTGCAAGTGATGGAGGGCAGTCATGAAGTCTCAGGTTTTTGTCTCACCTGCAACTTTTCACCTGCAATAAAAGTTGTAGAGAGTGACAAAGGGTTTACTATCTGACGACAGCCGTAATCTATTTGTATAAAGATTTATATTTCAGAAGGTAAAAGACCTGGATGCTTCATATCTTGTATGCAGATACCTTATGTTTAAATGTTTCCATCTGTCATATGTCCATTGTCCTTGACCTCATTTTCATGGTTCAACTTATGTTAAAAAAAATTATAGTTTTTTGTCATGTGAATTTCTCACTTATTATGAGTAATAGGATAACTATATTTGGTATATTGGTTCCTTGCAATATCTATATGTCTGTCGGACAGGGTTCACCTGACCTCAACCTCATTTCATGGATCTGTTATTAAGGTTAAAGTTACGTGATAAGGTCCATTTCTTAGATACATCAAGATGTAGGTCAATAATATGTGGTGTATGGAATGATTGCACATGTCTGTCTTGCTGGTTTCATCTGACCTTGAACTCATGTTCATGATTCATTGGTCAATATTAATTTTTTGTGTTTTGGTCTGTTTTTCAAATACTATCAACAAAATGTCATCTTTATTTGATGTATGGAATGATTGTAAGGTTTACATGTCTGTCTGGCAGGGTTCATCTTACCTTGACCTCATTTTCATGGTTCATTGGTTGATATTAAGTTTTCCTGATTAAGTCTGTTTCTAAGATATTATAAACAATATATCAACTATATTTGGTGCATGGAATGATCGTAAGGTATACAGATCTGTCTGGCATGATTCATTTGACTTTGACCTCATCATGGTTCATTGGTCAAGGTTAAGTTTTCTTGGTTAAGTCAGTTTCTTAGATACATAAGCAATAGGTTAACTATATTTGGTGCAAGGAATGATTGTAAGGTGTACATGTCTGTCTGTAATGTATCATCTGACCTTGACCTCATTTTTATGGTTCATTGGTCAATGTGAATTTTTCATGGTTTGGTTTTTTTCTTTGATACTTTAGGCATATTGATAATGATGGTTCATGTGATATTTGTTTAAAATCTAATTCTTTCAAATTTTTGAGACTTTCAATATTAAATCAATCATGGTTAAGTAAAGCAGGCTAGACATTTCAGCATATGCACTCTTGTTTATGTCTTTGCTACTGCTAGGCGAAGGGGGAAATAAGGTTTACCATTGTCCATCTATACTTCTGTCTGTCCTGAAATTTGTTTCTGTTCTCTAACTTAAGTTTGCATCAACCAAATGTTATGAAACTTATACACAATGCTTATTACCACCAAACACAGATAAAGCTCGAATTTGGGTTTGGTCACTTTCACCATTCTTGTGTTATGACACTTTCCAAATGGAAAATTGCCAAATTTGCTGTTTTGCACACTCAAACCCCTGAGCAATCTCTAATGACAGCATACAGAAACAAATGTCAGTAGGTTTTAATTAGTACATTGATTCTTGTATATTTACAAGTGGGGGCAACTGTGTCCCATGGACACATTCTTCTTCTATTTTAGCTTGTGATGTTCTCTCGTAGATGGTACTTCGTTCTTACGTTTTTTCAGAAGAAAGAGTTTTGGTATTACACACAATTACTTTCTTCCATATGTTGAAGAGTAGGAAGTGTAGGAATTTGAACTTCAGTCAGAAGTAGGTATGTCAGATACCAACAAGTGACAACACTTCCATAGAATGTAGGTCCTTGTTTGAGGTGAAATTTTGTGCTTTTGGAACATGACTTTTTCTTCCAATAACAGTCATTTAATTTGCCAATGCTTAAGACGATTGTTGCCTAGCTAGTTTGGCTCTTTTTGGACTAGTTCAAAGGATATTTTAGAATGTTTTATTTTATCATCATAGGATTAGGGGTCATCTAATGAAAATTTGAATGTCAATTTTCAATGCCAAAACTGTTTCAAATAAGTCAGACGAGTTATGGTAATGCATTTATCTTATAGTGATCAGTCTGTGGGTGTTTGCACATAAAAACATGGTGTTGGCTCTATCTTGAGAATCATTGGTTGTTCATTGATGATACTATTAGGCGTATCAATACAACATGGTTTTGGCTCTATCTTGAGAATCTTTGGTCATTTATTGATGATATTATTAGGTGTATCAATACAACATGGCAATATATAGTTTGTTGGTCAAGATCAAAAATTTTAAACACACTGAAGACCCGATGCAAATGTTTTCAATTGGGCCTTATCCATATCTTGAGTAGTGTTTGGAAACGAAATTATGTGTTGTTTGATTGACACCACCATTAAAAGGTATGTTGTGAATAAGATTGGAATCACTACCTTAAAGGTCAATTGCTTAAGCTCAATCTACTACAAAATAGGGTACATATAATTGAGGCACCTGTTAAATAACTATCTCAAAGATGTCTAATTGCTTATAAAATAGAGATAGAAAAGTCAAGGATTTAGATGACCTGCATACAGTCAATAAAGAAAACTTATGTATTGTAACCCTCTCAGCAAGTGGTTAGTACTTTACATGTCTAGACTCAGAGTGATTCATAGCTTTTTGTGCCCCGCTTGTTGCCATGTCTGTCCATCAGTTTAACATCAATTGGATTATATGCCATTATGTGTATTTGACCATATTGTACTGCCATTCTGATTCGACCATTTTTACAAAATTATGGGGACTATTCTTTTGAGTATTGTTACAGTCACACATTATGAATGCAGCTCCTCCTAGACCACTCGACAGACAGCTCTCATACTTCGTAAGATTGTTTGCCATCATGTGTAGTTGAACATATTGTACTGATATTTTGATTTGACATTTTGTAAGGGAGTAAGGGACTTTGGACTATTTTTTGGAGTATTTTGACAATAACACCTTGTGAAAGCTATTTCCTCCGAGATCAGTTGACAGAAAGCTCTCATACTTGGAACTATTGTTTGCCCTCATGTGTAGTTGAACATATTTAACCGTCATTTTGAAATGCCAATTTTCGGGAGTTGTTGGACATTTGAATATTTTTTTGAGTAATGTGACAATACTACCTTGTGAATGCAACTTTTCTGACACTGTTTTACAATAAACTGTTGACACAGAGATATAACTCGTCTGTCGGCATAAAATTCAGAAAAAGACCATCTGATTTAATTAATTCAAAGTCACTGGACCAACTAGTGGGTAGGGCCTCGAAATGGTTGACAAACTGAGATGTAGACAGCATTGTAACTTTATAGAAAATATTGTTGTCTATTGTAAGTAGTTTCTATCAAACTAACTTAATCAGAAAGCTTGTAAATTTATTGAAAGTCACTGGACCATGATCTAGGGGACAGGGCCTTGAAATAGTCGTCAAACTGATATGTACTGATAGTAATACAACTTTGTACAAAATATCATTAATCTATCACAAGTAGTTCCTATCAATCTAACCTAAGCAGAAAACTTAACATTGAAAATTGCTAATTAATTCAAAGTCACTGGACCATGGCCTAGGGGACAGGGCCTCAAAATAGTCGTCAAACTGATATGTACTGATAGTTATGCAACTTCATACAAAACATCAATGATCTATCACAAGTAGTTCCTATCAAACTAACTTACCCGGTAAGCAGAAAACTTAACAAATGTTGACGGCGTCACCATCACCGTCGCCAGAAAAGCAATCCCCATGTCTCGCAGGCGAGACAAAAACCTCTCATACTTGGTAGTATTGTTTTCCATCGTGTTTAGTTGACCACATTATACTGACATTTTTATTGAAGTAACTGGTCTTTTACCATATATTGACTATGGTTTCCAAATGATGCATTGTGCCCGATAATTCAATTCCTCATTTAAACAGTGAGGGAAACAATTTGCTGCAGCAGAGCAATTTGTTCATATGGTACATGTGCTTGTCTTCATCATACCATCTAATGTCTATTTCAAGTAATAGTAGGTTGCTGTCTCAAAGAGATTTGCCCACCATCTCTTTTTTTTTATTCATATTATTATGATTGAAAATAACGAGAAAGTTACACCACAATTATTTTACCTTTATGAATTAATACCTGCATTCAAGAATAGTTTGAAGAAATCATTCATTTATGCCTGCTATTCAGAATAATTTCATTTCATGACCATCATTATTTTTCTTAAACTCCTTGATTCAATCTGTTAAAGGAATGGCATCTAAAAATTCTGCTAAAAAATTTTGTTTTTCACTGTTTATTGAAAAATTATCACATATACACAATAATTCAATATTGCATGATTTTTAAATTATAAATTATACATAACTGTAAAATCAAAATAAACACCAATAAGCAACATGTAAATTGTAGTGCACAACCACACAAAAAACATATCGGTCTGATATTTACTGGTAACTATAGTGATAAGTTTAGGTCATGATGATTTGTTCAAGTTTTCTGAAATAAGTAAGACAAAAACAAAGAAATGAGTATCAAGTAAATAAATAGAAGTTTGGAATAATGTATCGACAAATAGCAAGTGTTATTTAGTTTCCGATATTTTCTATCCCAGCATGCACAAAATGATTCAATGCTGGTGTCAATGAAGATTCAACATTACATCAATGTTTTGTGCTTGCTGGGATATATATGTATGTAAATCCGTAAATCTAAAATATCTCAGTGCAAAACACAGTTGTAATCACTGCTATCACATGTTAGATGAGAGATAAAAACTCACACTGGACATGATAAAACAATAGATTGAGCAACATCTTTTTATATAAATACTAATAAAACCAATTTTCGATGTTATCACAGATTGTACACATCTTGTTTTATTTACAATTATTTGATTTTTCGTGTCATCATTTATGTATTTCATTCAATAGGACCAGAAAAAATCAATTCTTAAATGTAATATCCAACCTTATACTTTTTTCAGCAGGGAGGGAAGCAATTTTTTTTTATCTTTTAACATTTTCTTATTGAAATTTAACAATTTTGATAAAAATAAATAGATAAACAGTGTTTCTTTTAAATGGCAAAAGCAACAATGAAAAAATTTAGGCAGGGCTTACTATTTCTATAAAACAATTGCCTAAAAGGGTGAAAATCTCAATTTTCTGTAATTTGACATCATAATTCCTGAAATATATGTCTATTTAGTGATAAAATAAAAGGTTGGCTGGTAATGAAAATCTATAAATTCAATTTGTATGGTCTAAGAGTATATGTACTTTTGCATTATTTTCATTGAAATATGCTTGAAATACAAACTCATAATTTGGAATTATTTTTATCTCTTTTTTTGCTTAAAGATTTTCTTAATTCTTCAACTTTTCCTGAGTATTTGAATAAATAAAGACTGTTTCATTGAATAAGGTCAATATCATATACTTTTGTTCGTTTGAACATTGTTCAGAAATTTAACATGAATTCTTCATCCAGATATAAATAATCTAAATTAACCTGAGTTTTAAAGAAATTTACCAACTTTAAAAATAATAAAACTTAATATCATGTGAATTTCCATGGACCTATTTAAATTATTAGAATATTAAAAACTCATAATAATATAACATTCAATAAAAAATGTTGTTTCTCAAACAAATTAAGCAAAGCAGAAAACAAATTTGACACATTTCAGAAAATTTCTTCAAAAATGTTGTTTCAAAGAAAATACATTTAAAACATGATTACATCTTTTTTAAAAAAGCATATTTAAATTCTAGACTCCTTTAATTCAAATTTCTTGATTATATGAATCTGTATACTACAATATTTAATAACACTACAACAAAATAACAATTACATAATTAATTATCTCCCTTTGAAAGGAAAATCATATGCAACTATCTTGTAAAATGAGTTCATATTGTAATACAATATTAATCATATTAAACGCTCCATTTAAACTCATTCAAAATAATCTTTTTCAATTCAATTTTAATAGATTACAATTTTAATTACTTTTATGCAAAGCAGTTTGGACAAATGTACACATATTATGTAATTCATATAAATAGTGAATGCATAATTGTTATTACATGTATATGATATATTAATAACACTTAGGAAATTATCAATATAACACAAAAAGTTTGACAATAAACTGCAACAATGAAAGAAAAACAAAATATAACTTCACACAAATTTTTGAAAGCACAATTTGTAGAAATAACTAATTTTCAATAAATGCAGTATTTGCACATTAAAATAACCACCATAATGACTGAAGAACACACAATTTTATATAAAATGATTTCATTTACATGTTTACAATATAAAACAAAAATTAGTTTTTCCAAAATAACAGAAACCTGCCATTGGCAATTGTACTATGTATAACTATACATAAATCTAAAGAGAATAATTCATCATCCTAAACAGCTATAATAAATATCCTACTTTTTGTTGAATAATATTCTCTCTTAGGCCACACTTAAAAATATTTTGGTTTGCCCAAACCCTACCCAAAGGTAGAGACAGTGGGTAGGAAGGTAGGCATTTTCTTTTCTTTTTTTCAGCAAAAAGAAATTGAAGTGTCAGATGTTTTTTAGTCTTCATGCCTGTCTGATTAAAAAAAAAACTTTTTCACATCAGGACAATAAAAGATTTTTGAGTAGGCACATATTTTCTAGAAAGGTAGGGATAGGGCATACAAACATATTCTTTTTTATGGCCTTAACAGTTAATATTGATAAATAGATCTGTGAATTGCTTTGAAGTATAAAAACATTGTGCTTATATCTATTTGGAAAGAAAATGGCTAGGTTGGAAAAAAGAAACTCCAAATTAGTGTAAAAAAAGATAAATCAATAACCATACACAATTGAAAACGGAATACAAATCTAATATCCAGGATATTTGAAACAGTTTCAAGTTAATGAGATTCCCTGTACTTTTATCCTGTTAACATCACAATACTGGCAGTGCCAGAGAGTAATTATGATTGCAGATACATGGTAAATGCCCCTTTAGTAGATGCTGAAGAAAAGTCTGCCTCATTGTGAGTACTAAAAATGGCTAAATTTGCTTATTCTTTCCAACTCTTCGTACATTTCAAAAGTAGTCAAAAGATCCCAAATTGTGACACACCCTCCCCATATTTTGACTAGTTTTATATATTTTAAACTAGGTAACAGGCTAAATATCTATGAAAACTTTGCCAGTGACCTTCTGTAAACAACAATCTTTCAATCAGACATAAACAAGCATTCTGTGAGTATTGCATGGCAATACATAGTCCCCTACCAGTTACAAATTCATTGTAATGGAACAAAATTCTAACTTGATCTATAACTTGTCATGATGTAAACTACATAAAAATATCAAATCCAAATCTTCAAGCATGATGAAAAAAACTGTTGAAAACTGATTATTTAAGTGAATTTTCTATGTCCAAAGACCATAACTCTGCACAAAATTCCAACTTGATCTGTAACTTGTCATGATAAAACTATATACTAATTATCAAATCAATATCTTCAAGAATGACAAACAAACCTACCACTAAATTCTTCAAACAATTTACCGAAGAAAAGGAAAAAAATCCAAAATGCCATTTTGTCTTTTAAAAGTCTTTTAAAAAATGAGTTATTTCCCTTTGAACAGAAATCTACTAATTAATAAGTATTTCATCAAAAATTTAATTCTAGGGAAAGGGCTTTAACTGAACAAAGAGAAAAGCTAAAATAGTGAAAATTAAACTTGACCTGTAACTTGTCATGATAAATCAATGAACCAAATATCAAATCAATATCTTCAAGCACGAAGAAAAAAAGTCTGGAAAACTGATTTGCCGGATTGACAGATGGACAGATGGACAGACAGACAGACAGACAGACAGACAGACAGACAGACAGACAGACAGACAGACAGACAGACAGACAGACAGACAGATGGACAGACAGACAGACGGACAGAGTGCAAACCTAAAGTCCCCTTTGACTTCGTCGGTAGGGGACTAAAAATCCAAACCAATACCAACCCTTGTTCAAAGGTGTTTTTTGTGCATGATGTGAAAAATGAAAACCCCACATTCGTACCATAAAAAATGATTCAAAATCCATGTACATGTATGTATATCTTATATGAAATTGATGAAATGAGGGTGCTGATGTCTGTATAATCTAAGAAACATTTTAAATATAGAAAACTGACGGCTTACATGCAAATTTGTTCAAAATATTTGTATAATTGACTGACTAGAATTTAAAACACTTCTATGAGACAGAAAATCAACACATTTGTTCATTAACACATATACCTTATACACATGTGTATGTACAAATGACTTTAGATAGGATGTCAGTTAATGTCATGTCTTTGTTCAGATATTTCAAAAATCAAGTTCGGTTTCAGTGATATGTTAGAAAGTTGCAAAAACACTGAATACTTCGTTCTTTTTATAAAATTGTCTTTGCTTCTCCGATTAGGAAGATATTCTTCATAAAATTGTCATTGCCCCTCAGATTAGGAAGACCAGGAATAAGCTATTTAGTCATGCATACATACACATTACACATAAACATCAAGTGTACATAATAACTATGCTTTGATACATGTGTAAATCCTTTACAATGATACCATAAATAATTCACTAAAACTTTTGTCATGTCAAGTTTAATATTTAAAATGCATAATAAATATATCATATTCCATAAAAAATGAAAAAAAGAATGGAAAGACACAGGCAATTTACTACCAGTAAAATATTGCAGTACATAAACTTTCTATAAATTACAGAAAACTTAGAAAAGAAATATATCTGTTCATGATTGAGAAATGACTAAAAATTTAGAGGATATACTCATTTCTGATCTTTGAAAAGCAGAATTTCCTGTCTTCCGTTTTGTGACATGCTAGTAATATCGGATGGATTTATTATTTCTCAATCATTTTAGTGTAAATAATGGAAATTTACACTTTCTAGTGTTTAGATACAAAAAATAGGGGGAGGCAATCAGGGTCATATGTACTTACTAGGTCATATTGTTAAGGTTTAAATTTAGTGTTAAACATTTTGTTCTGTTATATTTATATTTTTTCATAAATTTATGTTTGAATCATGACTGATTTGCACCTTTAGGAAGGAAAAGTTAATCCTAGCCTTATCAAATAAATCTTATTTTTTCATAAATTAAAATCTTGAAAACCAAATGATTTGATCTCCAACCATTTTACTGTATAAAATATTAACTTACATTATTTTAACAAAAAAAACAAAAACAAAAACAAAAAAATTATAAAAACATGACAAATCCAGTTACAAAAATCGATTCAAACAAAAACTGCATTGTTTAACAATGGACAAATTCAAAACTAATTCAATATGAACAGAAAATAATTTGGACTACATTTAACTTGTCATCATAAATCATTAGTATCATCATTATCATTATTATCATCAATATCACTGACATCAGCATCGTTATCATTATCAATGTCTAAATCTGGCACATAAGGGTTAATTATAATACCATCAAATTCTTCGTTGTCATATTCATCAGCAGTAGCACCAGTTAACCAACTATGAATTCGGTTGTTAGCCTCACTTTCACTATCAAGTTCTTGTAATAATGATTCAGAATGAATTCTGTCCCTGGACAACGGTTCTAATGGCTGCCAGTGTTTTGGCAGATCTGGAGCAGACGCTGAGCCTGGCAGTGATTTCAATGGTTTATGGTCATTATGGTCACTACTGTTTTGAGATATTGAACCATTAAGTATTGGAATGGAAGGGATGATCACATGATATGAAGGCGGAGCAGAAGTGTGGTTAGATATGAGGTAGTTACAAGATTTATCTCCACTTTGAATAGATGGCGATGAAATTGGCATTTCCTCTGTATTTTCAGAGAATTGACTCCAAGGTGGAGGAATTGTAACTTCTGGTTTCTTTTCGTCTTTTTCATAATTTAAATTTGGAAATATTTCAAAAACAGGAATTTTTCTTTCAACCGGAGGTGCTTTAATTATTGTGACTTCAGGAGACGCATAAGGTGAGCCTGAGTCTTTCAAATGACTGTATGATAGATTATCAACCCATGAAGGAGCCTCCGAAGTCACTGGTTCATCTTCAGTCGAAACTAATGAAAATAAAGATGGTCTAGGCACCTGAGAAGCTTCCTGTTTCCATGGCAATTCTGTTTCTGTTGCTGTTTCATCAGTTGATACTGTTTCTTCTACAAAAGAAAGCATTTTCAAAAATATAACAAGTCTGTTTGTGTCTTCTTCATACAGTGAACAACAACAAAGTTATAAAAACACAATTTACAAAATGAAAACCTTATTCAATACTTACTGTTACAGATATACTTTTACTTAAAATTTAAAATAAATACTTACAATATCTTTTTTTGGATATCATATAAGAATAAGTAATTTGAAAAATATTCAAACTTGAGAAACTTTCTTCAAAATATTTGTTTTTCTGTTTTAAATTGTGTACCAATTACAGATTAAAATGAATTTGAAAGAGTAAATCTGTTCCTTCTGAATATTTTATGTTTTTTTAATGAAGTAAACATGTTCAAAAAGAATCTTCAACTTGACTATGCTAAGCAAACATTAATAATTCCATGTATATCATACTAATCTACATAATCAGACAAGCATTAAACTGTTTCACTCCAAACAATCAATGGAATACATGATTTATTTTGCCTGTGTAAAATATTTGTAACTATTCTGAATATATTATTCTAATCTACATAAAATAATAAGTCAAAGAATATCTGAATTGATCCATACTTTGAATTTCAAACATTGTTAAAAATTATACACGCCTTGCCTTTAAACTGTTCACTCTGACCAGAGCCAAGTCTTAAAATTATTCTCTGATCAGAGCCACCAGTTTTAAAGTAATTCTCTCTGATCACAGCCACTAGTCTTAAAACTATTCTCTCTGATCAATTGAATAAACACATTCACCCAATTTGTATTTACTTTGGTATAATGTAATAATGGTCCTTTAACAAAATAAAGTCTAAACTGATCTTCTATTTAAACCTTCAGGCAGTTTAATTATTTCTGTACTTTAATTAATCAGTGATAAGGAGATATATTCCATAAAATAAAATAACATTTTTCAGTAAAATATAACTGACAACCAAGGAAGACTAGAAACAAGATTAAATCTATTAATTCTGGCTGCATTTAAGATTTTACTGAGAACAAAAATCTAGCCAATCAACAGCTGCATCATGAGCACATGATATGCCTGTCCCCTCCCTTCTTTAAATCAAAAAGTCCCATAACTCCAGAAAAAAGAGGTAAGGCAGATAACTTAAATTGGTTGTAATACTATAAATTTCCTTTGATTAGGTGAAAGATATCTGGACTGTTGCTTAATGCAAATGAAAAATTTCATATATACTAATAGGTTTAGCCCTATAACTGTGAAATAATAACTTTTGAAAAAGTATCAGCTTTGTTAAATTATTCAAATTTCTGTCAAGATTAGTGAATTAAATTTCAGTCTTGCATATATATGGATCTATAGGCATATAGACAACAATAAACCATCATTAAGAGTGGTATAAATAGATTACTTTCTACCTTTCCTTTTTTACAGAGTTATATTTCAATAAAACATACCTATTTCAGAAATTTAGTTTCTGCAAACACTTAAATTTTAATAGGTTTTCAAATATAAATATCAGCTGTATAGCTAGCAAGTGTGGGTCAAATTTTGTTAGTGTTTAAGAAATCATTTTCAAAAAAAGTTAAGATTCCAACACTTAACATTGAATCTTATTTGACAAAGTTTGACCCACAGTCTACTATTTGAAGGTGAAGGAGAAGTGTGGGGTAAATATATGTATTTCTGTTAAAGCTTGTGAATGTTAATACCCATGTTAACTTATAGTTGATATCTCTCTGTAAGATAAGGTATCATTAGAGAATTCTTCAAGATAAAGAAATCTAGTGAAATAGCAAATATTTCAGCATTTGTATTTTGTAAACTTGCACATTAAAATCCATTAGCACATATACAAATAGTCTCAATAATTACTTAATACACATAGAAAGTTGTTTAATGACATCAATAATTAAAGATCCTTTGTTAATTTCATAAATCAAAACTTCCTGTGTATTCACATATATATTGTTTTATCAAGAAACATGGAAACAAGCACTGTATATACTGTATGAATTCTGTTATAAAATAAATAAATACTAATTGGTTTTCAATGGGTATTTGAAATTGTATGATTTCCTGTGTAGATGTGAACAATCAATTTTAATAGTATTGAACCAATACAAGTTTTGGTAATTCTATAGAAGCTGAATAACAGAACCATATAATTAATAACTCTTACAAAACATTTCCGCCATAAAATAATAATAAATCCAACAGTGGTGCTAATTCCAATCAAAGTAATTCAGAACCCATTCTTGGGTTCTAAACAATCATTAAGAACAAGTATACTATAATATGTCAGTGTTAATCTTAACCATTTATTTGAAAAAAAATCAGTCAAGTGTATCACAGTGACCTATATTTATTGATAATTTATCAAATCCTGTATACTTAAACCGTAATCTTAAAAGTCACCAAAGCATTGTAAAATCCTTGGACATACCTGTTATAATTCAAAGTCCATTAATATCTTAGATCTTCTTATTAATATTACCAAATTAGGGAATAGTTCTCACAAAATTTGGATGTACACTTGGAATTGAAAAAAACATGTTTACAAATTTGAAATTATACTTATACCAAATATCTACTTTTGCTAAAAAACTGACTAATACACAAGTATTTGAATACTACTTATAGCTTACTATATAACTGTGTTTTACAAATCTAAGAAAAACAAACTCCATTTATGGTGTAAGTATTCATGAAGCATTCTGTTATAAATCATTGCTAGTTAATAGCTTTTTTTAAAATACTTTTAGCTTACTGAAAACTAAATCAGAAACCTATTATACTGAGGTTAGTACAAAGCATGAAACTGTTTCAGATTTATCTTGTAACCCACCTTGTTCATTGTTTTCTACTGTTTCTTGTTTGCTTTTTACTTCCTGTTGCTTTGCTGCTATAGTTTGTTGTTGTTCAGTAACCATGGCAGTGTGACTTTCAGATTCCTTATTTTCATTGGTGTCATTCACTTCAGCTGCAGTACGAAATTTTTCGTGTTCTCTTTTTCTGAATTCTTCTGGATCTATCTGGTGTTGTTTGATTGGTTTAGGAAGTGTGGCAGTGTCCGAATCAGAGATGTCATTAATATTATGTATGAACTTAAAAGACAAAATATCAGAAATATCATTAATATGATGTGTAAAATACAGAAAAAATAAAATATCAATATCAAAAAGACAAAATATTCTTTTGAAAAAATGTATTGACTCACCATCTGTCACAGTTCAACTTTCATATATTACTCTTGTTTAAATAACGGAAGAGAAAAGAAAGATCTATATTAACTTAAAATGCTTTTATATTTATTCATTTTATTAACCTTTCTTTGTATTCTCTTTGCAAAAACAAGAAAAAAATACGTAAACTTTTTATAATGTTACCTTTTTTACCTAAGAACCGACATTTAAAAAAATAAATTAATACACAGTAGAACTTAAAATTTCTAAAAACTTTTACCTAAAAGAGGAATAATTTTTGGAAAACAATTTAATTCCAAGCAGTATAAGTTCTATATCATGTAACCTACAACAGATTTTGATGGTCCTTTGGGTGTAAAAGAGCAAGCAAACAGATGTCCACAAATCATAAAAAAAAAAAGAAGTCCCCCTCCCCCAAAAAGGAAATGGTTCCTTATTTCTGATAATCAAATGTATCCATGATTTAATAAGAATTAAATACTTACTGTTCTACGAGGTCTGATCATTCCTTTATCTAAGATGTTATAGAGACTATTGTTCTCTACCACTCTGACATTAGATATGTCATCGGTTCCTACAGCAGCAGTATTAGGATTGTAACCATTAATTCTAGATCTGTAAACAAACAAATATTATTTTTAAGATCAAATGTTCGTTCAAAACATGAAAAGTTTTCAAAATTTCAAGTTTTATGGATTATCAAAGTATTCCTATAATTAAGTATCTTGTATCAAGTGTTTTCTGACAAAGGAGGTTGACTTGCATGAATTTTTAAAAGTTTTTTGCATAAATGTTATGCTTAATGTCCAACTGTTTATCCAAGATATTTTGCTAGCAATGAAAAATAAATTGAGGTGAATTTTTCATAACTTAAAATGCCATAGTAATTTTTTTCTACAAATTTAATGCATTTATTTTAGTAGGTAATCTAGTTTTGCAGCTGAAAAAGTTTTTGAATGGAAACTTGTATATGTACATTAAAAGAAAAAAAATTCCCTTAGTAATAATTTTTCCAATAAAAATTTGGATTCAGTGACCATCTACTGTGTTGTCAAAAACAGAAATTAACACTTACGCTGCAGTCAATAACGGTATTTTCTGTCCACCGTTTATTTCTGGTAAAGTTTCAGCTCTGCTCAGACCACCAAGTTCTGGATAAGTCTCTGCTCTTTTCAGAGCATGTTCTTCAGTAATATTACGGTAAACATGTAAAACTTTCTCAGCTTTGGTGGCAGTAGTGACATCTTTTACGAATATTGGCTTGATATACTTATGATTTAAATGACGAAATCTGAAAATAAAAGCATAAAATGTAATTAACAAAGTCACCTTGAACTATAGTCATAAATAAGACAGTAATATACATGACAAACAATAAAATGTAAGTATAATTTTAACAGACATATATTTTTTTTCTTTAGTTGACAATTTTACAAGGCCCTGTGGTGATAAAACCTAATAAGTATGTATGTGTGATAAAATTATCTCCAAAGTATTGTTTGTTTTGATTATTTGACAACTGATTTAAATGACCATAAGTGTATACTGACACCACTTCAAATGAAGGCCAAGTAATTTTCAGTTTTTTCTTCATATTTACTCACTAGATCTTTTTCACATAACCAAATTTCATTCAAATTACACATATTCTGCTGTTTTCCCTGTTTCTTTTCGATATCTTTCTTTTTTATCTCATTTGAACTCAATGAGCTATACTAAACCATGGATTCAGTTCAGATGTCAACGTATATTTGTTCCGCCTAACAGAAGTTCCACTGGAAACTTTGTTATAAACAATGTCATAATATCTGTTACTGTTGGAACAAATATTCTATACCATTTATTCCGTTAGGAACATTTACTGTAATATTTATTCCAGTGGAAATAATATTCCAGAATATTGTTTCCATTTGGAACTTATATTATGAAGGAACTTCTATTCCGTGACACTGAGTGATGTCTGTACAAATCTTTCTGTATTCTGAATGTTTAAAAAAAAAACCTTAATTCTTCCAGAGACTTATATTCGGAAATTTTTCTTCAATGTTCTTTCCATTTTATTGGCAAAAATCAAACTTCATATTCATCATACATTTGATTTCATTCACTTATTGAGAGAATTAAGACAGTGGAATCTGAAATATAACCGGCTGCCTGTTTTCTTTTAATTCCATACAACCTTTTCTAAACTGTTACGATTTAAAATATTTATAGTAAATTAAGTAATATCGCCACTTACTTGATTCTCATGTAATTATGACCAGAACTCTGTGTGATACCTTCCAATCCAGCCATTAAATGATCTATTAACTTTAAAAATAAAATAAAAATATCAATATAACTATACTAAACATACCTTTTGTGATTTTTTCCTTGAATAAGCCTAAAGAGTCCTATCACAAGATAATCTATATATATATCTTTTTATTTTGTTTTTCTAAGTCTCTGGTAAATTCTTCTGATAGCATAACATTAAGATATAAATATTCATTATAATGTTTGTAAACAACCGTCTTCTTTTTTAAATTCTTTATCTTTCTCTCTGCGATATCACTTTATTAGGAAATTTATCATTCATAAAACAAAATTCCTTAAGTTATTAATGAAAATTAAAATCCAAATCAAATAACTACTGATAACAGTGGTCAGATATGTGAAAATGAAACTAGGTTATCGATTTCTGAACCAAAATGACCGCAACACAAACAAATACTGTTATCATAAGCAAACAATATGTACACCTAAATATATCAAAAGCTGAAATTATGAATTTCATTACAACAGTAAGATAAAGTAGGTGTCACTTTGTTGTCCTATAAATCTTGAAGGTATTACATCTTTTTTGACAATGATTTAAATGTTTACTGACCTTCATTAACATAAGCTGTTTGTTTTCTCTAGATGTTAAAATTAAATAATCAAAAATGTCTAAGGTCAGTGCTTTGTTGTAGATAAAATAAAATGACATATGTCTGCATAACTCTGACCGTGGGTCAAGTAAATATCTACATAGCTCTGACCGTGAGTGGTGTATATATCGAGTATTTATATCTTACCGATTCATGTATTTTCTCGTTAAGTGTTGGATCGTCCTCGAGCTGTTTCTTTATTTTTAATGCATTGACTACTGGTTTGATAAATATACCCTGAAAAAAATTTACAGAAACTATTTTACATGATAAATTTAAAATAGAAAACAAGATAACAAATTAAGCTAATTCACCAAATAATTCATCACTGATACAGATCTTAATACCTACATTATACATCTGTGTAGCTATCTTACAGCAGAAAACCCTCAACCTAACATATCAGGAAATCTGTAATATTAAATAATACCTGCACAATTTTACTCCATATTTCGTACTTAGATTTCTAACTAATAATCTGAAGACTCTTAAGATTCTCAATAACAAATGACTAAATAATTGCAAAAAAAAAAGGGGAATTAGCATTTTATGACTTAAAATGATCATAAGTTTCACAGTTGTTCCTGATTTATGAGTGACTTTTACTTGTACGTTTTTTTTGTGAGAATTGTCATAAGATTAGTATAAAATTGCAACAATGACTTAAGGAAACTTCATAATTTCTCAAGAAAACTTCATAGTTGGTAGTATGTCTATGTCTGCATTAGATATGTAATACCAAAGTCATTTAAAACTTTATACATACTCTTTAATGTCATGTACATGTATGTACAATCATCTTCCAGACAATTGGAAAGCTTGCACTTTGCCATTGAAAAATATATTATAAATTTCAGTTAAAGTTAAAAGTATGCAATTCTAAATAAGTTGACTAAAATCAACTGTAAAGCTTCTGTCCATTGTTCCACTAAACTGGACACATGAACTATAAGAAATGTTCGGCACTGCACATAGTTCTCAAAGTTTAAACCAGTGGGGGACCTTTATATGTCACTGACTGTATACAGATATCATTTGTATTCAGCTGTTAATTTGTCAGATCATAATGTCAATGCAGGTGTAGCTTATTTTTTTATTTTGACATGTCATACGACTTACATTTTGACATGCCATATAACTTACATTTTGACTCTGTATGTCCTATGACTAAAATTATAATGAACTTGAAGTTGGTTCAATTTCAAAAATAATTTGTATTCAAATTTCAATATTCGTCTGGATTTGAGTTTAAGTATTTATTGACTTAGTAAACTTTGAAAGGGTCAGTGTTAATTAAAACTTTGAAAGGGTCAGTGTGAATTAAAACAATGACATAATATTATACTGAGGATATTGATATGGATTTAAACTCAAAAGCATGATGTCACAAACAAGTTTTTTGTTTAATAAATTACAATCAATCAAGTCATTATCATACTGCATACTTAAATTTAATTGTAACGTTAACCTTAACTAGATCCCATTCAATACAAAATAATCAGCACACTGTGAATAATGTTTTATTTATCGTTTTGTAATCATAATTTTTATACAAATATTATATTGATAATCTGTTTCTGTTTTAATAACTGTAATATTATTATAATTCTGAATTTGAAGTAGGAGATAACATGTGGTTTTAATGTATTATTAATTTTTTTAAATGTGGTTTTATTGTTTATTATGCAATAACAGAAATTCTAATCTCAGAAATCTATCAGACATATATATTTGTCTTACATCTTATTAACTCTTTATACGTTTTTTCTTCTATAAAAAGCAAAACATAATATATTAGATTTATTATCCCCGAAATAAATATGTTTAACAGCTGTATCTACATAATATGATACATGGACATCTGTTCCATGATGTTGTAAAATCTCTATTGTTTCTACTATAACAATTCTTCTTTTTTCAAGAGATGGTACCCAATATTAAATTTGTATTGCTTGGTTACACCTGACCTGCTAAAGGTTATATATGAATTTCTTCATTTCAGTTAAAGTTTGGTAACTCTAATTCTCTTTTACATCATTTTTAGATGAAAAAACTAACTCTTGTATTCAGTTTCTTTTTCTTTTTTCCCCCAAACTGAACATTACTAAAAAACTGACTTGGTTGGCTTGTTTAAATATTCTTATTCTGTCCTTTTCTATAGGATTTCTTTTGTAGTGTTTGTCGAAAAAAAACAAAATATTAAATTAAACTACTCATTTTGCAGTAAACAATTGAATTACCTGAACAAAAACTGTAAAGAATACAATTACAATTGTAGTGGTAATGAACAACTTCCTCTCCGGAATCAGATCTTCCTTAAGGGACAAAGCAAGACAGAAAGCGATACCTCCTCGAAGTCCTCCAAATGCCATAATAAATTGATCAATCGGCTTCAGTTTGACCAACCGTCTATAATTAAGTATACATGATAGCACCATCACACCTGTAATGCAAACAATAGATTCAATCGGTCATCCCTGATGTCAAATCTACAGTGATAATTAATATCTGTTAATGTGTAGGAATGGCCGAAAGAGCACAAACATTTAAAACTGTTATGAAATAATTGCATAAATTATTTTTCATGAAACTGGCACCTTTAATAAAACAAACTGTAAAAATAATGTATAAAACATAGGTCAGTACAAAATATATTTACATCTAATAATTTAGGTAAAAGAAAATAAGAGTTCTGGTATTTTGTTATCTTGTGTGGCTATTCAAAAGTTCAGTAAAATTACAAATTAACTGTTTTACCAAAAGAAATCTTTCATGTTTCACTGTTATAAGGAAAAATTCTAAATCTACTATAAAAGTTTTTCCTGACCAAAATAGAAAAAAAAAGAATATTTAAAAAATTAACGTACTTGGCAAGGTTATGATATCTTTTGTGCCATTAGAAGGTTTAGGGTTGCAAAAGAAACCATAAAAGGTAAACATAAGCATATTGACATAAAATGTTACAAATAATTTCAAATATCATGACGTTGACGTAAGAATTTCTTACAAGGATATTGGCTTTTCAATATATTGATGCAACAACTCCAACGGTCAACCACATTATATATACACACTTTGTCCTTTATTCTATTTCTGATACTTCTCTTTATATTTAATATTCAATGATGTAGTTAATAAAGATCTCGCTACGTCACTTAAATTATTTTACTATTTAATTCTTATATAAAAAAAAAAAAAGAAATTTGGTTGATTCAAAAGGTTTTTTAAATTCAACAAGTGGTTTCCAAAGAGAATTTGTTTCAAAGAAGACAATTCTATGAAACTGGCCCAATCAAAGTAATTTGTTCTTATAAACATAAACAATAACTTGGGAAGTATGGAGGAAAGTAGAGGAGAATTGACAAGCACCCTATACCATTAACCCATTAATGCCCACAGGAGAATTGACAAACACCCTATACCATTTAGCCATCAATGCCCACAGGAGAATTGACAAACACCCTATACCATTTAGCCATCAATGCCCACAGGAGAAATGACAAGCACCCTATACCATTTAGCCATCAATGCCCACAGGAAATTGCACATACATGTTTAACATGAATTTCAACCACAGAAATGTACATGCTAATACAAAAAGAAATTAATCATGATATATAACAGCAATATCCAGGAAGTAACTATCTCCTTCAGGACTTCCCTGTATGTACTATTATGTAAGATATTTGATGTATACAAGATTTCTCCATATCAGATGAATACAAATTTCATGGAACATGAGTTTCTTTCAAAATGCCACAGATTTAAAGCACTATTACTTATTTTTCAACTGGATCCAATATCACATTAAAAAGTTTATAAGATTTATCAAGGGTTTTATTTGAGGTGTACTGGACTGGTTTTTTAATCATTATAATTCTTTTCCTCTCCCTCAAATTTAAAAAATAAAATAAAAATAATATTGGCCAAGAATGAGTCCAGCGATGGCAAACAGAATGTTTTCTCAAGTCTCAACTAAATAATAGAGATAATGAGAGAAATCGTCTGTCATTTTGTCCAAATCTAAAGTAAGAGATTTCCACTATTAACAAAATACAATAATTTTATAACATATAAAAAAGACATACTCTAATGGGTAATGTTTGTACTTACCTAATACCCTGAATATGAGACAAAACAACAAGGAAAAGCAGATGAAGGACCAATTCCAATCCAAATCTTCTCCCAATGTAGAAAGACCGAGAAACATAAAAATAATTGTTTCACTTATGTTGGATAACATCTTCATGAAGTATTTAATACTGGTTTTAGTTTTTCTTGAAACGTTAGCCTCCAAATAGTGACGCAATACAATACCTCCGAATGAAAGCCTACAAATACAAAACATACGTCATCAATAATACATTCAGATTCAATCAATAATCTTTATTCAAAACCATCTTAATTCCAAGTTATTTGTTAGGGAGGAGTGTGTCAAATTGAGATCGTCTTACATTTCCATGTATTGAAATAGAATAATCTATATTTATTTGTAACTTGTGGAATTGGAAAATCATTTCTGAATGATTCATTTTAATTTGTAAAGAAACTAAAACAACAAAATAATCTTTAATTCTTATGAAATTTACATTAAGGATGTCATACAGAGTATCTTTTTAAAAGGACAGTTCAATATTGTTACATATTTAAATATTATTCATGCTTATGTTGATTTTTATCTAGTCAAAATCTTTTGTTTGGGTTTAAACTCATTTAAAATGTTAACAAGTTTATAGAATGGAGATTTAATTAATTGCCTTATATTTTATTTGGAGGTACACATAAATATCCATAATTATTCATATTACTCATTGCTTATTCAAGAAAGTACATAATAAAAACAAAACAAATACCCCCTGTGTGACTAGGGCAGAGTGGCCTTGGGTATTGTATACCTATGATGTAGGTGTTTGTATGAGACATGGGCTTTGGGTAATGTATATATATTATGTCGGTGGGATTATCCTAAAACTAAGTCTAGTCAACAGATTTTGAACTTAAGTTGTAAATAAATTGTTTTGAATATAGGCAAACAATATTCACCTATAACCTTAAAGCTCAGTGTAAACAACTTCATCAGGATAAAAAATACATGTTTATGTTACTCATTTTAGAACTATTTCAATAATCTACTGATAATTTATCTACATTTACATGTATTATAATCAATAAGATAAAATTAAAGTAATCAAGATTAAGTCCAGAATTCAAAATAAATACCACACCTTTCTGATCCAAAAAGCTTTGAATAAATTTACATTTGTTTATCTTCTTATCCTTGTGATTTTAAAGTTAATTTTGTGATATCTCTGTTTGACCCATATTGAGAGACATTAAAGTTTGAACCATGACAAACCATCTCTAAATTTCAAAAGTCAAAACTTTAAATGTTAGACACTATATTCAATTAAATAATATCTGCAAAAGAAGCTCCCAAGAACCTATACGGCTAAATTACCATTTTACCTTTGCTAAATGTTCCTTTTATTATAGGCCAAACTTTGGTTCAAATTACCTATTTGGTTTCAGAAAATATGATTAGTCAATGCTCATTCCCCCCAAAAAATCACTTTTCAACTTGTTTTCTACATTACAGTAGGTATTGATGTGATGACTACAGGGACATTTTCAGAAATATTTTTTCTAAAACTACTAAATATTCAAAAAATATTTGTTACTTAATTTTCAAACTCTATTTTTTTTTTATAGCAATGGCAACTGTGTTGGTTGACGTAGACAGGACATCAAATACAATTCTAAATCGGACCCCCAAAAGGATATTTGGTTTAACAGACTTCGTAATTTGTTAGAAATATAGGGATATTTTAACATGATTGTTATAACAGTTATAACAGTGGCAATGTTGATAGGAATGTCCTAGGACATTGGTTGAAAGGCTCAACATTTGGCAAATGTCCTAGCACATTAGTTGATGTTTTAACATACTGTGAATGTCAAGTTACATTGGTTGATGAACAGACACACCATGTGTTGTATATGTTCAATGGATAATTTAGACCAATTCTGGTTCAATTAAATTTGGAAGTTTAAGAGACGAAAATTTAATGATGATTTTTGGAAAAGATTACCAGTGGCAATGGTAATAAGGATAGATGCCAATAAAAGACTGTAAGATACAATGATGTGCTGTTACTTCTTAACAGATGGTTTTTTTTAGGGTAAAAACTTTAGGCTATAAATCAGCATGTTTAGATCAGTCATTTTTAATGAATTCAATCCACTTTAAACTAAAATGAAGTAAAAAAATGGAATAAGATGAAAGTAAACACAGATTTACATACGAATACACCTCATTGTGTGTATGGTTATCACATGTGTTTACTCTTTATAATTTAATGAATAAAATTACAATACATAAACTGTGAAGATATATACTTACGCCAAAATACCTGACCAATGACACATTTCTGATGTCAAATACATGAGATATCCAATGATGAAGACGAACAATGGTTCTATAACTTTAACATGCTCTGTATACTTGGTTATAAATCCACCAAAGAAACCAAAGAAAATTCCAATGAGTGATCCACCGATGGCAATTATAAAGAATGACCCAACGCCTGTTGCTACGTCAACAGGAATTATATTTTGTTCTCCAATTTCTATAAAACCTTCCATCATATGATACAGCACCTGTAAAAAAGTTATTTCAGTAATTTATAGCCCAAAGTACATGTATATATTGATTATAGAAGTCATTGTAATATTGTAGGATGGTTTTAAGATATTCTAATATTGCAACTAAATCTAAAAATATTATTGTGGAAGAGCTTGAAAAAAGCTGAAAAAAAACCACTTGGTTTTCCCTTTGTTAATTGTATAAAAGAGATCTTAGGTTGAAAATCAGTTCAGTACATTATCATAAAGAAATTAGTTCTTCAAACATTTTTTTTTCATTATGAGCTTCACTATTCTTAAATATAATTCCAACTTCTTTATATCAGTGTACAGTACATGTATTTTATTGTCTTACTGTGTTTAAACAAGATAGGTACATTCTACTTTAGTTAGGAGAGTCAAAATAATAATCCAATCAAATTATGTTCCCTTACAAAGATAGGCTATTGTGTTCTTTTTCATTATATCTCTATGTTTGTGTGTGTGCTCTATATCTAGTTGGTGGTTGGTTTAGTTGGTGATGAAAATTTCCTTCTTTTAATATATAGCTTAATATTTATCATTTTCTGTATCTTTTCCTTTCAGTCTGATATTTTCAACTTTGAATTGTCACTCAAAGATTGTACTTAAGTTACCCAAGTTACGTTTTATCAGTACATGTATATGTACATTGTGTATTTAACAGATTAATTTCTATTTCTATCAGCCAGTGACAACTAGAACAATAAGTCTCTGTGGTCCTTTGCCAATATCATATTTACCAATTGGTAAACAGACCTCTCGTTCTATATATACCTTCCATCAAGTATAATAGTATATTTATTACCAAATGTAAATACAATGTTGGCAATGCCAGAAAACATTTGGATTAAATTCAGAACAAAATTTGTAATAGATTCAAGACGAATATCTTCTGTTTATCATGATGATCTTTATTTATACTTTCTGGGTCTTTTGTATGTTTATTTTCTTTACAGATGCTTCACTATGATCAAGAAATGATGAGTGATTATAGAAGTAAGAACTTCCAACAGGTGGAATCCAAAACTAATAAACTGCTTTAAAGAACGTATAGTCATAAATCAGGCCCTTGCTTTGAATTGTTTCACATTCTGTCATGTTGGGGCCTTTCATAGCTGACTATAAGGTATGTGTTTTGCACATTGTTGAAGGTCATACTGTTATCTATAAGTACTTACATCATTGTCTTCGTACTATGGCTGATATTTGTCTTATTAGCAATCATACCACATTTTCTTATTCTTATAACGAAGCATCTAACAGACTGAATACCTGACCCTATTCATATGTATGGCTAATTGATATTACATAGTATTTTTTTCTTCAAAATCAAAATTGTTTTTAATCTTCATGAAATTTAGCTGATTTGTAGTTGCTGATCAAATGACTTTCCTTAACTATAGACAGGTTTTTCCGATTATCTGCCTTAGTTTATGACGCGACTCCTAGGCGTCGTCGTAGTACGATCGCCATTACAACCGTGAAAAAAATATAAACAAGATATACATCTATTGCCCAGACCGCATATAATTAAATGTAAACACAAGAATGTGAAGTCGTACTTGACCTCGGCAAAAGTATAAGTGTTATAAATAATAAAGTAATTAGATAAGGATTCTAAGTGTATTGCAGGACAGGTGTCGTGTCCTTAAAATATAACTCCGTGTATTTGATACGTTACACGCGGGACATAATTAATTATATACGAATACTAATCCCAGGTTAAATATCGATTATAATCATTTGGTAATCATGATATTAATAATTATAACGCATACATAGATCAAAATAAATAGTCTTGCCTAGTCGAATGTATATATATATATATCAAATCATAGAAATTTCCGTGGTCAGACCTATAAAGAGACAGTCCTAAAATTTAACAATCCTCTAATCAGACGGGCCCACAGAGACGAGAGTTTTGTGCTTTTGGTTCGACTCACGTATAATGCTCAAAATTGAGTAACGTATCGTATTACTTTGGTGTCTGCATGAATTGCGCTATATGCTATCGATGCATGGGGCCATATGTAGATATAACTTTGCGATTAGAATATGGGCTTAAGAAGTTTTGAACTTTCATTGCCCGATGTATACAATACAGAGAAATATAGTATTACAGTATAATATTAGGGATGTATATCGGACCGTCTGACTACTGAACTGTCGGAATTTCGGTTTGTTGGATTATAGCTAAGCTTTCGTAGGCCGGTTCTAGTAAACTGTTTGACTACCAAGACCTTTGAAAAATCCTTTCTAATGTATACAATTTTATAATTCATGCACAGAAAAATCTACTGAGGAAAGTTCAAATCAACAGAAGTAACTGTATACGTCAGTCTTATAAAGAAAATAAAGTGAATGTATACTATAAGCACACAGACCTACATAGGCCTACATATATGGACCATTAAGACGAGGCTTTTAGGGAAGGGCCCTTAATAGTTAGTTTTGCTGGGATTTGTCTATGGATGCAGCTGTTTGTAGAACCTTTAAGTTTTTCAGCAAGAACTGCACCCAGGAATAAAATATTTCACAAGCCGCTTACTTTTCGAAATATGAAAGCGCCGTCCCATCCCAAATGAACAAATATCCTCACCCCATCCCCCTTTTTCAAAATCCTTAATCCGCATCTGATGTGTGTATCTTCTATACAAAAAGAGGCAGATGCACTGTAGTCATCGGATTAATTTTCACAGATTAATTTAAGTTTTTAACAGTCGTTTTACAACGTGTAAACATTCGTCTGCCAGTGGTATTTTACTTCATAACAAGTTTTATTTAAAAAAAAACGGATTGTGTGCAGTGGCCAGTCATCCCGAAAAAAATGTCCGGACCATACAAAAACCTGTTTATGCAAAGGTTTTTTCTGTTTATACGGCTTTGATCTACTAAAATTTGTTTGCTCGTCTAATGGCATCAAATTAGACATATATATGGAATCAAACGAGGGCAGTCATTGTGCAACTCGTTGTGTAACTCTCATATTAATTTTTTCCACATCTGAAGTTTTTTACGATTATTTGTACAACTTTTGACTGCACAAGAAATGCCTCCACGTTTTTTATAACTTTTTCAGCAGTGTCCATAGTAAAATAAATCAGAATATGAAAGAAATACAAATGTAAACAGAAAATCGATAATGTTTTGATCAATACACGTGCGTTATTTTTCACGGTTGTAATGGCGGATCGGTCACGTGAGAGGTTAATGGATGCGCCCATGTTTTCTAGGTCAATTACAGATAAACCCGTCTATTAACAAGAGCTAAGTAATAAGTGTCTGTTCCAAATTACTGTGTCAGATCATCTTACTTCGTATACACTCATTATAACTTGTAGGTGCCAATCAAATGTCCTTGGTAATAATGGGGAACCAGGTAAAAATACTTCCCTCACATTATGTCTACATAAATGTATGTGTGATTTTCAAGGTCAATCAGACTTGTGAATATCATGGGGTGCACTTGACTAACATCATAGTACACCTTTTTATAGTAAATGATAAGAAACAATTCTTTTATTAGGTAGGAAAAATAAGGCCTATGAGCAGGTTTTCTAACAATAAAATAAATGTAAGGTATTGATTTTTATACTTTGTTATTTTCCTTATAACAAACTTACCACTGTAACTCCATCATTGAGCAGGGACTCGCCAAATACTATGATGTAAAGCATCTGATTGACATGGATTTCTTCAAACACAGACAGGACTGCAACTGGATCAACAGCAGATATCAAGCTACTGAATATAAAACAGTTAAGGATTCCCATCGGACGACCAACCCATCCTGCTAAGGCAACACCATAAAGAGATATACCGATCAGACCTGCACTAATACAGGTATTAACTACTGCTAGTAACAATATTGTTCCAATGTTGTCGAAGAAGGCTCTGACTGGCATAAAATATCCAGCATCAAATATGATTGGCGGAAGAAGGTAAATAAAAAAGATGTCTGCATCGATGACATAACTGCTGGCACTTGTGATTTTACCATAGTGTAGAATAGCACCGATGATGAGACCTAAGACTATGAGGAGACAACTCTCAGGAATGATTGTTGGTAACTTGTGATTCAAATGGAATGCTGAAAATATAAATAGAAATCACCATAAACTTGTGATTCAAATGAAATGCTAAAAAAATTTTAAAATACAAATAAAAATCACCATAAACTTGTGATTCAAATGAAATGCTCAAAACTACAAATAAAATCACCATAAACATTATTCTATTATGAAATTTCGTTCATATGTAGACATGTAAGAAGAGAAGAAAAGGGGAATACAAGGTAGGTTGTCTCAATAGGACAACAGTCCAACTATAAGCTTAGAAGACATCATCAAAAAGACAGATATTTTAGCCTATGTATTAAGGAACAATATCTAATCCTTCTTTATAAATGATTTTTTTAACAGATTAATTAATTCAGCATATGGAAACATAAGATGTATGCATCATACCACATAAATGTTGCTGAAATCAATATCGACATTTTCTTCAGGGAGGGTAACTCTATCTTTAGAAACCAAAATAAATTGCATGTCCTGCAAGAGATTTACTGCACTTGTCATTACTCACGTGTTCCATTACAAATCAGGATGATATTACTCAGACCCTTTATACTCTAGTGAAATAGATCAAACTTTCCTGAGATTGATCCAAACAAGATTGATCTTTTGTCTTTTGAAAGTGATATATTTAGATATAAAAATAAATCTGTGCATGTTCAGGTAAAAAGTACATGTATTTAATGACAAAGGATGGAAAAAGGAGAATAGTACAGTCATGAAGATATTGTCCTCTTATTTGAACTCTTGGGAAATCAACGTGTCCATGATCAACGAGAAAATACACCAAAGAGAAACCTGAAAGTGTTAAAACCAATATGCATGGATATAAAAGACAGGATCAACCATTTAAAAAGAAATGCATAGAATTGTCTTGTCATGATCTAAATGCACACATTATCATATTCTATTTTTAGGATTGTTTGTTTTCAAAATTTAAATTAATTAGGTCAGATAAGTTCTTTTTATATTGCAGTGTAGATGCACTAGATCTAAATCGATCCAGAATGATCTTGACTGTGCAAACGTAAAAGTAAAGTGATCTTTATAAGATCTATTCAATTAATGATCATTTCAATTTTGTACAAGTGTAAACGGGGACTTAGTAGGTCAACAATCCCCTAACAAAGTTTTGATAAAGAAAATATATATCACTTGAAAAGGTTTAACTTATAACTATTGAAGAAGTTGTTTACATATCAAAGAGATGACAATAAATTTGTTTATCAACGCTGTTTGTGTAAACACATTTAAAATATTCATGGGAAAAGTCCTCTTTAATATAAGTCTATACATACATGATTTTTCAGATGATTTTACAAATATATGAGCTATATCCATCAATCTGGTATAACACAGAAAAAAACAGTCTTGAACTGTTAATAAATTCAAATTCAAATGTTGATAAATAGTCAAAATAACCGCCTTTTCCACCTCACTGCTTATAAGCTGAATATTTGTAGAAAATATAATATGACAATATTAACAAACCAGTGTAACGAGTTTCGTTGTTTATTGTATACATTTGTTTACTAATTGACGTGGAAACCATTAATTGATGATGTAACTTGTTTCAGTTCCCAATCAATTGTTATCGATAATTATATTCACGTTTTAGGTACATAGAAACTGAACAATAAACATAAAAAACAGCAACAAAATTGATTTACAGTACTACGCATTAGGTGACCTTACTATGTTTAGTCTGGAAAAGTGACTTAACTTTTCTTAAATACATTTGTATAACTTAAATATGAAGGAAAGAAGATGTGGGGTATATATTAATGAGACATCAGCCAATATAACCAAAAGATAACTAGAGGGGAACAACTAGACAGGTGTGACTCAATCTTAGAGGGGAACAACTAGACAGGTGTGACTCAATCTTAGAGGGGAACAACTAGACAGGTGTGACTCAATCTTAGAGGGGAACAACTAGACAGGTGTGACTCAATCTTAGAGGGGAACAACAGACAGGTGTGACTCAATCTTAGAGGGGAACAACTAGACAGGTGTGACTCAATCTTAAAGGGGAACAACTAGACAGGTGTGACTCAATCTTAAAGGGGAACAACAGACAGGTGTGACTCAATCTTAGAGGGGAACAACTAGACAGGTGTGACTCAATCTTAGAGGGGAACAACTAGACAGGTGTGACTCAATCTTAGAGGGGAACAACTAGACAGGTGTGACTCAATCTTAGAGGGGAACAACTAGACAGGTGTGACTCAATCTTAAAGGGGAACAACAGACAGGTGTGACTCAATCTTAGAGGGGAACAACTAGACAGGTGTGACTCAATCTTAGAGGGGAACAACTAGACAGGTGTGACTCAATCTTAAAGGGGAACAACAGACAGGTGTGACTCAATCTTAGAGGGGAACAACTAGACAGGTGTGACTCAATCTTAGAGGGGAACAACTAGACAGGTGTGACTCAATCTTAAAGGGGAACAACTAGACAGGTGTGACTCAATCTTAAAGGGGAACAACAGACAGGTGTGACTCAATCTTAGAGGGGAACAACTAGACAGGTGTGACTCAATCTTAGAGGGGAACAACTAGACAGGTGTGACTCAATCTTAAAGGGGAACAACTAGACAGGTGTGACTCAATCTTAGAGGGGAACAACTAGACAGGTGTGACTCAATCTTAAAGGGGAACAACAGACAGGTGTGACTCAATCTTAGAGGGGAACAACTAGACAGGTGTGACTCAATCTTAGAGGGGAACAACAGACAGGTGTGACTCAATCTTAGAGGGGAACAACAGACAGGTGTGACTCAATCTTAGAGGGGAACAACAGACAGGTGTGACTCAATCTTAGAGGGGAACAACTAGACAGGTGTGACTCAATCTTAGAGGGAACAACAGACAGGTGTGACTCAATCTTAGAGGGGAACAACAGACAGGTGTGACTCAATCTTAGAGGGGAACAACAGACAGGTGTGACTCAATCTTAGAGGGGAACAACTAGACAGGTGTGACTCAATCTTAGAGGGGAACAACAGACAGGTGTGACTCAATCTTAGAGGGGAACAACTAGACAGGTGTGACTCAATCTTCATACAATATGTAAAGTTCTAAATTGTTTGGAGTTTATAAAAGTTTTTAATAAATTAAACAGAAACAATCAAAGATTTGCCTTGACTGTTTAAACTTTAAAGTACATTTTTTCACCCTTTTTTCTATAATCAATCAAGATAGTGCTTGAATTTTATCTATAAGATTGTGAACAAAAAACTATAATTTATATCTTCTATTCATTTGAAAGTATCAGTGAGGGGTCTGACAGAGGTCGAGTATTGATTTAGATCTACTGAAAATAGCTTTGCATTACATTTTTGACCTGAAATATACAGCATGTACAGTAGGCATGCACCTGATGAATGTTAATTCACCTAGTGACTTTCTTCATGGTTAAACAAGGGGATTAGTGGATTATCAAGTTTGACTGGATTATTACTCTATCACTATGTCCCATAATCAATCTGTTATGTAATACTAGAACTATGATGAGTTTAAGGTCCCGTGTTTTACAGGCATTATTTCATAATTTCTTTTTTTAATTGTTTTCCAACTTCCCTCAGTCAAGTGTTACTGGTGTCAATTAAAGCTACAAAAAAAAAAAAAGCCAACTGAAGTTAATTTTTGTTTCCAATAATTTTTACATGAATTTCCACAGTGGCCATCTTAGTTGAAGATAAAAGGGTAAAACAAAGATAAATGTGAAGAGAAAATCATACCATAAACATGACAGCTAACAGGCTAAGAAAATCATACCATAAACATGACAGCTAACAGGCTAAGAAAATCATACCATAAACATGACAGCTAACAGGCTAAGAAAATCATACCATAAACATGACAGCTAACAGGCTAAGAAAATCATACCATAAACATGACAGCTAACAGGCTAAGAAAATCAAACCATAAACATGACAGCTAACAGGCTAAGAAAATCATACCATAAACATAACAGCTAACAGGCTAAGAAAATCAAACCATAAACATGACAGCTAACAGGCTAAGAAAATCATACCATAAACATGACAGCTAACAGGCTAAGAATCAAGTGCAATCATGAAGAGCATTGAGGATGTAAAAATTCCCTAAGGTTTTGCCAAATACAGCTAAGACATATATATGCATCCTATGTATACAGACCAAATATTTGACAATTCATTGCAATTTGGAAACCCACCTAATCATTACAAATTAAAAATTCATCAGTGAACCATGAAAATGAGGTTAGTCAAGGTCATGTAACCCTGTCAGAGCTATTTTATATATACATGTTATCTCAAAGATTTGTCTATTAGTGATCAAAACTAGAAGTTTACATGCACTCGCAGCATGTTTTTCAACAGATTAATTAACGTGCCAAAATATAGAGTAAATATAGAAAGTTCAACAAAAAGTGTGAATTCTCCCCCAAACCAAGACATAATATTGATCATTTATATTACATTTGATTATCTTCACTTTGGCACATTTTGTCATATGATGTAATATAAAATGCAGCAAACTAATTGCTTCACTACAAAATGTAAAAGCCAAAACAAACTTTCTGTCAAAGCATTTTAATGCATTTGTACATGACTATGATTCTACTAATTGAAATGGCTGTTCTAATGACTGTCACTAATTCATTTGGGGCAAGATACATCTGATAGTTGTACAAGCATACATATATCCTGGATACCAAATTGTTATATTTTCCAGTGGCAGATTTATGGGGGTGGCATAGAGGGTGTACGCCTCCCTTGATTGGAAAATATATCATCTTTTAACATAAAATCATATATAATTTTTTTTAGCATAAAATCGTCCAAAAAATAATGAATTAGGCCCCCTATTCAAATATCCTGGATCTGCCCCTATCTTTTGCTTATACTTGTATAGTTCAAGAAGGTCACCAAATTTATTACTAAGAAGATGGGTAAACAAGTTCTATTGACCACTATGACCTCAGTGTTTATATTGATTTATATATGATGTAAAAGAATTCTGGCCTG